TTAACGTGCTAAATGAGCTAAGATATCGAGTTGTTTTAAACCATATCGAAAGTGATAAGTGCTGCTCCTTTAAGCAAGGATATGACAACTTATATGGATTAAAAGTCGTAACAAATGAAACACTTTGAATATTATTTAAAATGAAACACTTAAAAAATGTGCACAAAATATTTGATTAATAAATGATGACAAAATATAGATTTTTGTGCAAAAATTAAAAAAATCATTTAAAGGAAATTAAATAGCAGAGCCTTTAAAATTTATTCAAACCATAAAATTCATCAATTTATACAATATCTATTTATAATTGCTTTCCTTCATTAATCATTAGTTCTCATTTGATTGAATGTAAAAACAAGTTTGTTGCTTAAGTCATTTGTATGGCAGTTCGTTGGCCCATCTAAGACAAATATCTATTGTAATTGGATTTCTTCAATCTACAGTCAAAGTTCGTTGACACAGCCTTTTGTTAGCCGCAAACTATAAATTCTTAGTCACTCGAAGCTTACAAAGCAAAAATTTCAACAGACAACAAAAACTGAAAATCATGCCAAATGCAGTTAAAATTTTGGAAGCTTTTGCGCAACTTGCAACAAAGAAACTTCCAAACAAACAAACAACAAAAAGACAAAAATTACATGCATAAATTATTTAAAGAAACAAAAGCGAGAAAAATAATGTGTGTGCCGACTTGGCAAGCATATTATTTGCCCAGCAGTCATAAAAGGGCGCATACCTACACATAAATTAACATGTGTCTACATATGTGTGTGTGTGTATGTATATGGGCATACATATGTCTATAATTAAATGCATCATCACTTTTGTTTGCGGCTGATTGATATTGATTAACATGCATGAGACAAAACGAAACAAGACAAAAGCCCGAAAGCCAATAAGCAAGCGCCTTAAGTCAAATTACAAAATGCAGCTTAAAATAACGAAAATGCGCGCACACACACATAAAGAGAGACATATTGAAATGCGAGTTTCCCAACTGTGTCCAAATGTCCATCGATTAGGGCCTGGGCGGGCGTGTCGTTTATTTCAACTTTTCACTTTAAAGCACTCAAAAATTCAAATTAATAATCGATAGCGCAACTTTTGGAATTCGAAATCGAGTCGAATTTTTTAGCTGATAAGCCCTGCGGCAGCTGCAATCATTAAGATGGACCATTAATGATTTATGTTGCCAAATCTCTGTCCAGTGACAGGGGTTGCCCAGCTCATAAATATGCCGTCGATAAAGATCGACACACAAGCAATAGCATTATATTGTGTTGTATATACATACATGCATATGGATGATCAAATTAACATGCAAAATTTCAAACAGAGACATTGAGCTTTGATTGATGGCATTGCATTAGCAAATCGCTTGTTATGCATAAGGAAGAGAAGCGTTGCCCAATCTATATGCAAAAGACGTGGAAGGTTCTAGCCAGCGTCACAAAAAATACTAAAGCACAAATAAATTAAAGGCACTAAAAAAAACCCAATACAAAAGTCAATAAAACCAGTTAAGGTCAGCCTCAGTGGACGTTGGCTTAGCTTGTTGCTTGTGTAATCAACATGTTTGCAGCAGATGCTAAATGAATTTTTATTTATGAATAATGTGACGATGGCAAAGTGGCTGTTGATGCTGATGCCGCCGTTGCTGCTGATCACGTTGCTCGATGCTAAGCTACAATAAAAATAAAGTTTCAAGTGTCGTTGTCGTCGTCACTGAGGCAGTGTGTCAGTGGCCGAAACGCCTCGGGCAACCGGTTGGCTGGCACCAATGCATCCTTGACATAAAAACCATGCGCGCCAAGTTACATCTTCGATAAGCCAAAGCACACACACACATACGCATGCGCAACGGCACGCAATCAAAACAAACTTTAAAAAGCATTCCGTATACGCACTGTGGTATACGTAATAAAAGTGAACAAACATTTTTCATAACTTACATTTTTTGGTATTTTCTTCTTTGCAGATGAAAGTCACTCTGGCGTTAGCGACTTTCTGCCTTGTGGCTGCCTGCGCCGCTGCGCAAAAGGGCAGAACCACCACAACCACAGGCACCAAGCCGGGTCGTTTCCTCTCCCTGCCAGTGCCCGCCAAGTGCGCTAGCCGTAAGTACAAATAGATTTAAATAAACCGTATATACATAAGTACATACGTTTCACATATTTTAACCTTAACTGGTTGCCGGTTGGCGGTGTGGCAAAAAGTAAAAGTGTGAAACGTTAGAAGAATATCAAATAGCGCCCATGTTTGCACTTGAATTTGTTTGGCAATGCGACGTGTAGGTGTGCGCTACAGCCACAGCAATTACAATATATAAAATTGTGTTAGGTCGGGGGCGGTGCGAGGCAGCTGAAGGTCGCTGACGTGATCCGTGATCGTCTTTTGTTTTGGCACTGCATTTGGTCAGCTACGCACTTTCCTTGCTTCACTTTAGTTGAACCCGCGAGCGTTGCCACCTCGCTGCAATAGCCAGTGCTGCCCAGCGCACACGTGAAACTGCAAGTCATGGCAAACGGTGGGACTCAAGCAAATTGACGACGAAGAGATTGCGAAAATGCAACAGCTAGATGTTAGATGTTAAATTCAAACAATAGCGTCATCGCTGCATATCCGGTACACTAATGAACACAGTTAGCAGTTGGCACTAATTAGGCGGCACACGTATACAGCTGAATGCATACATTGGTGTGCATCCCGTTTAAAACTGAAAATGCAGCTTAACAATTTTGTTGTTGAGTTTTTGTTACTTTTTTTTTGTTTTTGTTTTTTTCTGTTTTTTGGGAAAAAACGTCAGTGTGACGGCCCGTAAAGTTGCATAGCCAGTTTTGTGCCGTTGCTATGGCTTAGATCTTTCATCTCTTTAGAAATATCCAGTTATACAAGCACAACTTAAGTTAACTTAAACTAATTAACTATTCAAACTTAATTACCTGATACAAACGGCGTCGATGCTCGTTAATAACAACTTTCAAGCATGCAAACTGCTTGCGCTTGCGCTTGTGCTTGCTTTTTTAATTTACATTTCAAAACGGATTTTCTAAGATCGAGATTCTGTGTAGATGTCTACACAGATAGAAGTAGTTGTCTACTTTGGGAAGTTGTTTGGCAATGATGCAATTGGCTATTTTTGTATGATTTTCATTTTTCAAGCTGCATGCAGGAAATGTGAATGAAGAGGGAACACTAATGGGACTTTTTTATTGCCTTGACCTGTAATGTGAGGAAATTTCTGCAGTCTGGCAGCATCGGCCAAAATAATCATAATAATGTGCAAACAATAGCAAATAAGGTCATTATGTTAGAGTTAAGCTGATTTGAGTTGACGGCGGACGGACGAATGAACAGGCAAAAGGCAATTGCAAAAGTGACGGCAGCTGACGTTGCCGTTGCTGCTGCTGCTGCTATGGCAGCGCTAAAGCCGCTTAAAGCGCGCCTAATGACGCGTGCCGCCAGCAACAGCAACAGCAGCTTCAATGGTGGCAACAAGAGGCGTGGCGCAGGCGGTCGCGTTAAAAAAATAAAAGCCAAAATAAACAAAAAAGAAAAACAAAAGCAACGCAGCAGCTAATCAAATGCACTGCAGTAGCCGCAACGGTGGCAGCTCAGGGAGTCAGCCATGTGAAACAAGTTTCAGAGAGCAGCAGCCGTTGAAGCGGGAGAAGGTGGATGAGGCAGAGCTGGAGTTAGCGTAGGGGGGAATTCCATTGTTGGCCTAACCAATTTTTTGTTTGGCAAAATGGAAAACCTTTTGACACACAGACAAAGGAAAGCGGGCAGGCAGACGACGCGGCGACGATGACGGATGAAGACGGGAAAGAGGAGGAGGTGAAGCATCAGCAGCAGCAACAGCAACAGCTTGCTGCATAAATTGTTGGCAAAGATTGCGCAACTTAAAGTAGGGGGAAGTTGTGTAAGCAGCCGTGGCATGATTTTGCCAATCCACGTGGTAGACACCCAGTCGTCAGGCCCTCACGAACCACACCTTTGACTACCTTCGACTACCAGCTATTGAAGACTTCCTTTAATTGTTTTTCTCTTTGCAGGCCCCAAGGAATTCTCGTACCGCGGCAAAAACATGTTCCTAAGCACCCACGTGCCGGCGCTTGCCAACAGGAAGGTCGACTGGTTGGATGGCCGTAACCTGTGCCGCGAATACTGCATGGATCTGGTCGCCCTGGAGACCCAAGAGAAGAACAACCTGATCTTCCGTGTCATTCAACAGAACGATGTCCCATATATCTGGACCGCTGGCCGCATTTGCGATTTCGCTGGTTGCGAAAACCGCCCAGATCTGGAGCCCAAGAACATCTATGGATGGTTCTGGTCCGCAACTCGCGAGAAGATCCAGGCCACCAACCGCATTCCACAGGGCTGGGGCTACAATCCCTGGTCGCAGACCGGCCACAAGAAGCGTCCACAGCCCGACAATGCTGAATATGACATCAACCAGACCAAGGAGCAGTGCCTGTCCGTGCTGAACAATGTCTACAACGATGGCATCGCATGGCACGACGTTGCCTGCTACCATGAGAAGCCCGTCATCTGCGAGGATAACGAGGAGCTGCTGCGCTATGTGGCGGCCACAAATCCGGGCATTCGTCTATAAGATGTTCATTATCTTCGTATTGTTTGTGTAATTTTAAAGCTACTTATTATAATACTCCCTAAAATGAGTTTTTTTTGTATAATTCTTGTTTAAATATGTGTACGACGAATGCAAATACAAATAGACTTTAGAATTTATAAATACCCCCGATCTTACCACCTACACACATATATAGACAGATGCCTAAAATTCACCACTTCTCTCGTTTCGAAACTGCCAATCCTACTCGACTATACATTTTCCTACAAATTGTATTTATATAAAAAAAATTTGTTAAGTACGAATAATCACGCCCTAAAATCTCTTATTTAAAATAGAAGGAAAGAAAATGAAACACAAAACTCACCTATTCTATTGCCGTGCAAAAAACAAAGAGATTGAATAAAATGTTATAAAAATTCATTAAAAACTGATTAATTATTTAAATATTGTCGTATATACTTTGGTTTATTTGACACGTCGACGTGGCGGTGTGCGGGAGTGACTGTAATCCGTCTTAGAAACGTGTTCACGGCTCGATGTGGAACGATTTCGACTGCGACTGCGATGGCCAGAGTCTTGTGCCCCATCTCGACTGTGATGCAATCTAGAGTCGCGACTGCGATCTCGGACAGAGTCTCCACTGCCATGTGGTTCAGATTCTTGACTAGAATGGCGGCTGGAGTCTCGACTGGAGTGATAGCGTTTCCTGCTTTTATCAGATTTACATTCAATATCTCGCTCATTGCTCTGTTGCCTTTTGGCAGTTTTGCTCGAAGATTTGTCATGTTTAAGCTCCAGCTCGGGACTCTCCGACCAGCGCCAGTTGCGAGATTCCCGCCCAGTGTCATGCCAACTAAAATCAAATTGAAAATTTACTATCAATTATATTCAATATATCATTAACTTACCTGCTTGTTCTGTTTGTAGGCGTTTTACTGCTGGAGCGTGTGCTCTTTGGTGTATCATAGAGCTCCAAGCTACTGTTAAACAAATTGTTTGGATTGCGAAATAGGTGGAGATAGCCACAGCTGTAGCCTTTGGGACATTTGCGTGTTAAGGACAAACCTTTAAGACAAGCAACAAGTGGAGTAAAAAACATGGAAAGCTATAAATGAAGTAACTATAAAATTGATGATATAAAATAATTGGTTCTAAACGGAAGAGTAAGGCCCCCGATTAGGGCAACATTGCGATCTGGGATTATTATACCCCATCTCCTCGGCGTTCAGTTGCCTCAATGACAGAATTAGTTGGCAAACTTTCATGTAGTTGACTTGACTTGATTTACAATATGAAAAAGAGTTTCAATTTCATTTTTGGTTTTAGCAAAGGATACGGCTCATGACATGCGCTTCACGTACCGCAAACGGCACCACGCCACCCTTTGAGATTTGAGAACTCCACTTGAAGGCGTCTGGATGCATAGTAACGTCCTTGCAGATTAACGAAGGCGCGCAGTGCAAAACTAAGTAATACATATATATTAATATAAATGTAATAGAAGAAATAAATATTATTACGAACCGCTCCTGCGCGTACTCCACGAATACGTGACCTCTCAGGTGGGGCAATGTGTTGCGCACAGCGCGAAAGTTTAAGATTTTGCCAAACTTTTGCAGCTCACCAATCGCATCGTTGAAGAATTCGTCATAGTCATTGCGCAAGTCCTGCTCTGTCAGCTCGAGGTGCTCGTCTGTGCTCGCGTATTCCTTGTGCGTCTCACCCACCTGTAGCAGTGGGTGTGTGAAGAAGTGGCGTATTAGTAAGATCTTTGCCAGCATTGGACGACGATGATTGAAGGTGCAACTGTTGCCGTATCGACAGCAATTGGTACGTGTATAGAACTCGCACAATTTCTCTGCAGGATTTGTTTCCACCACACGACGCAGCTCAGCTGGCGGCGTGCGGTCTTCACTGTCATCCATATACTCTTGCATGCGTTGTAGCATAGCCTCGAACTCCGCTGCGGCTTCTTCAGCCAGTCTTTTACTCTCTTCTCGCCTTTTTCGCTGCTTCTCCAGTTCTTCCTCCAATTCCTTTGCTTGCTGCAATCGTAAGCTCTCTAGTTTTGACTCTTCCTGTGCACGCTTAGCTCTATCGATCTGGAATTGACGTTGAGCCAATGCTTCTCGACGTAACCAGGCTTCTTCTTCCTCTGCTCTTAAACGTTCACTGGCCAGGCGGTGAAATTCTTCGAGCTCCGCTTGTTGCTTTAACCATGCCTCATACTCGGGCTTTGCTTTCAATGCTTCCTCTTCCAAAGCCTCCTCTTTCTCACGCGCTCGCGCTTGTCGCTGCCGTCGCCGTTGTCTCTGCTGTTTTTTCACTAGTTTCCGCCAAGCTCTGTAGGATTAAGAATAATTTCAATAAATAGGTAAGCAACCCATATTTAAGCCTACCTTTTCGCCGGCATTTTCGTTGTTTTGATTTCCTTTAAAATGCATCACCCTGTACAGACAGTGTGACCACAGCGAGCAGTTCTCAAAATCCTTAGTGATATTATATTTTAACATAGGTCGCTACTGCTAGCTACACTTAACATTTAAAAATACCATTACATTTTCTTACTTTACTTTTTGTTTCCAGTATACATACATTTTTCTCAGTTTGTGTTTATAATAAAAAGATGCGCATACTTTTTCAAGGTTCAATTGTGACTGAGTTAACATAATTTTGTCCAGTTAACATTTTTAGTAACTGTTATTGGTTAGATGTCAGTGTATACATACTGTATGTCAAATATGGTATTTTCGGTATTTGATTGTAATTAAAATAATAATTTTGTTTGGCAACTTACGCATTGTGGGTACGCGGTCGCACTAACCATTTAATGTTTTGGTCTATTTTTTTATGTAAATACTAGAAGAATTACCAAATAAAATACACAACTTAAGGATTTGGCGCTCTTTATTCAAAACAAAATAAACGCTAATAACACGTCTGACAAAAGTTGCAGCACAATTGCCCAAATAATAAGAATTCAACAATCGCCTTCTGAGGCAAAAGCCATGAGCAAAGTGCGCAGGCTGTACCATCAAAAATATCGCGAAGATTGGGAACGATTTCCGTCGTTTTCCGAGTGGCTCTGCCGTGGCGACGATGGCTACTCGGCTCATTGCAAGATATGCAACGCCAATGTGTTGGCGCGTCTGGCATCCATTAAACAGCATCACAATACGGCCAAGCATCAAAAGGCGCTCAAAAGCCATCACCTCGGATCAAAGGTAAGCGAACTACCATTAGCACTTTCCAACAACTAGTGCTCCTTATTCCTCTTCTGCTCTTGCAGAGCATTCCCATTAAAATGGAGCCCGGCACAAAGGAGGAGCCAAAGCAAATGTCACAAAAGTTTATTTTCGCTACCAAGCCAAAACCAAAGATCATCAAACGCTCCAAAACGGATAAAGTGTCGGAGAGCATTGAGCAGGTGCCTTTGGAGCCAGACACATGCTCCAATGACTCGATACTAGAAGATCTGTTGGGCAACGATGATATGGAGCAGCAATATCTACAGGAAATTAGCGACACGGAAATAGAGCAAGATGTTAAGCCTGAAACTATCCAAGAATTCAAAATTGATGAAATGCAGGAGGACAATCTGACTGATGATAATATTATTAGCGAATTCGATCTATTCGGCAAGAGCGTTTCCCTACAACTGAATCACATGGAGGTGAGCTGATAGATGACCCTCATATGATTGCAATCTGACTAATATTTATTAAATTGTCATTCCAGTTGGAGGATGCTTTGCTCTGCCAGGAGCGATTGCAGGTGGTGCTTACCGAATTCAGACTTAAGATCTTGAAGCGCAAATCAAAACGCAACTTTTAAATGTACCAAACTTAAACTTATATCATCAAGCTATATATAATTACTTACATATATATATATATTGACAAGCACAACTAAATTATACACCGAAATAAATGTTTTGTTTATTCTGCCTCTATTTCATCGATAAAACTGCGACACTTTTTCTTCAACACTCGAACGGCTTCCAGGAATATTACCTCCGGTTTCAGGGCTCCCACAGATTCGACACTAAAGATATAATGATCACGTACACGACCCATAGTGACAGCATCGGCCAGATGAGGATACCGAAACACATTACGACTGCAGCTGTCGTAGCGTGCATCCTTCACATAGGCGCACTCATTCTCATCGATGCCGATGACGCCGGGTGAGAAACAGCTCTGCAGCAGATAGGCATCCTTGCCCCGCACTTCTCTAGTGAGATTTATCTGTGGCAGCAGACGATAGTAGGCGGTGGCCACTGGGGAGAACTTGGCGTGATCCTTCCCAATGCCCTTGACAGCAATCAGACGTAGATCCAACTCGTGTCCTGGACGCAACTGCGCAATCAAAATATCCTCATGGATGCAGCCAACGCTGCTTTCGCTATAAATCTGCGCTTGTTTGCCCTTGGGCAGCCACTTTAAGTGCCCAGAATAGACCTTGTGATTCCTGTAGATATCATCAAAGTTGGATTGATCCTTGCTTGCATCCTTACGCCGCGTGCATTTAACCTTCAGCTCATATTCCAGCGTATCCTGTTCGGTGCCCTGATCCGTGCTCTCGTCGGTCCGATAGGCGAACAGACGGGGATCTGCTCGAAGCGGCAGCAAGCCCATACGGTGGGCCAGCACTTCGTCTTGGATGATCGAGGTGTTGTTATATATGTAAACCTTTTCAATGGCCATGCTGGGCACCTCGCTGAGCATCAGGCGACGAAAGGCGTTTGCGATTGCTGGATAAACGCCAATCAAATCAAATTCCAAGCCATGCTCTTCATCATTTCTGCAATTGAAGTGTAAATATAGTGGAACGGTACTTCGTATAACTGTATTGCAGGAAACTTACCGTACGATTACCACTTGCAATTTGCTTTTGAAAACGTCCATATTGAAAACCTCGTCTGCCAGCCCATAATCCTGAGGATCCTGCTTTGTTCTGTACTCCTCCATGTAGAGCAACGGTTTCTTCTTATGGTCAGGCATTTTAAAACTCTTACAATTCAGAAATATCTAAAGTAAAGATGCAAGCACAACCGTCGACTCGTTGCCGCACGTGGTTGTTGTCAAAACAATCAGAGATGCGCAATCCTTGGCTACTCGTGACTGTCACTGTGATTGTAAATGATGTATAACAATACAATGCCAATTTTAATAATTATTTAATATTTCATTATCAGCAACATTCGATGTACGATAAATATTCAATTTATCAGCAATCACATAAATGAACATCAAATGCACTATCGCAACAGACCTGTAAATTGTGTAATTGCGCAAGATTGGGCCGAGCTGGCAGCACCGTGCGCAGCTTTGTGAATGTCAAGTATAAGCGATTTAACCGGCAAGTAGGTTCTCCAGCAGCAGCTTTTACGTAAATCTTTGGTAAAAGCAAAGTAAAGAATGTCGCGTACATTGCAACGTTTAATTGGTGGCTGCAGACGCTGGACGCAATCGAGTTCTCGCACGCAGCTGCAGACACAGTCACAGTCATGGGGACAGCGTTATATGGCCCAAAAAGCGAGTGATCCCACAAAGGGCAAGGGACCGATATCATGGAAGAGTCTGTCAGTGATTGGCGTTTTGGGCGCAGGAGGTCTTGCCTTTATGTTATATGTAAAGCATGAAAAGGATGAGGCACGGTTAAGGGAGCGCAAAAGACAACTGGGCAAGGCCGCCATTGGAGGTCGCTGGGAGTTGATTGATTCAGAAGGCGTGGTTCGCAAGTCGGAAGACTTTCTGGGCAAGTGGCTGCTTATCTATTTTGGATTCACCCATTGCCCCGACATTTGCCCAGATGAGCTGGACAAAATGGCTCTAGTGGTCGATGAAGTTGGTACGTCTTCATGATATTTCAAGATGAATCAAATAATGTAAGTCATTATTTTATTTATAGAAAAGTCACCGCAAGCACCGCCAGTGCAGCCCATATTCATAACCGTAGATCCAGAACGTGATTCGAAGGAGGTGGTAGGCAAATACGTAAAGGAGTTCTCGCCCAAGTTGCTTGGCCTAACGGGAACCGTGGATCAAATACGAAATGTCTGCAAAGCTTTCCGAGTTTATTTTAGCGCTGGGCCCCGCGATGAGGACAACGATTACATTGTCGATCATACCATCATCATGTACCTGGTGAATCCAGACGGAGAATTTGTTGATTATTACGGGCAGAACCGAGACAAGGATCAGTGTGTGGCATCGATTCTGGTCAACATAGCCAAATGGAATTCAATGAACAAAAAGGGCTGGTTCAGTTAAGCTGTCTGGCGTTGCCACAGATTTTGTTATATTTTAAATTTTATTTCGTATCAAGTTGGCAGCACTCGGCATAACAACCCCGTCAAATTTGTATACTCGCTCTTTTTGACGTTTGTGCTGCGTGGATGTTGCAGAAATTGTTTTGTTTTCTCGCAATAAATATATATAAAATACCAAAATGGTGTGTGTATAATGCAAATTAGCCTAAGAACTTTCTTTAATAAAGTGTTGTTAAAAGCGCCATTGAAGGGTATGGTTGGAAAAGAATTTCCTTTATTCTGTATACAACATAACCTTAAAAGGCGGTTCTTCGTGCTTAGTTTTTGCAATAAATTGTAATATTGTTTTTTGATTTGCAGCGTCCGTTGATGTTGCAAGGCCACGAGCGTTCCATAACGCAAATCAAATACAATCGTGAAGGCGATCTGCTCTTCTCATGCTCCAAGGATCAGAAACCCAATGTCTGGTATTCGTTGAACGGTGAACGTCTCGGCACCTACGATGGCCATCAGGGAGCCGTATGGTGCCTGGACGTGGACTGGGAGACTAGGAAGCTAATCACCGGTGCCGGCGATATGACCACCAAAATCTGGGATGTCGAATATGGCACTGTGATTGCTTCCATAGCGGCAAAATCTTCGGTGCGTACATGCAATTTCAGTTTCTCCGGCAACCAGGCAGCGTACTCCACGGACAAGGCGATGGGTCAGAACTGCGAGCTCTTCATCATCGATGTACGTAATGCAGATTCATCTCTATCTGAGCAGGCGCCTACACTTCGTATACCAATGGTGGAGTCAAAGATCACCTCCATGCTATGGGGACCTCTCGATGAGACTATTATAACAGGCAAGTTCAAAGGCTAACTCAACCGGCGTTCAGAAATAATTAACTCCACTTTTAGGTCATGACAATGGTAACATTGCCATTTGGGATATCCGCAAGGGACAAAAGGTTGTTGACTCCGGCTCCGATCACACGGCAGGAATCAATGACATGCAGTTAAGCAAAGATGGCACCATGTTTGTGACCGCCTCGAAGGATACCACAGCCAAGCTGTTCGATTCCGAGTCTCTGATGTGTCTGAAGACCTACAAAACAGAGAGGCCAGTGAACTCAGCTGCAATCAGTCCGATACTGGATCATGTTGTGCTTGGCGGTGGCCAGGATGCTATGGAGGTGACCACAACGTCAACGAAGGCGGGCAAATTCGACTCGCGTTTCTTCCATTTGATCTACGAGGAGGAGTTTGCTCGTCTTAAGGGACATTTCGGTCCCATCAACAGTTTGGCCTTCCATCCGGATGGCAAGAGTTACGCCTCCGGTGGCGAAGATGGTTTCGTGCGTGTCCAGACATTTGATAGTACATACTTTGAGAATATTTTCGAGTAGTTCCGGCCCGGTCTGTAGTTGTTAGTAGTTCCACAATCTTTCGTCATCATCGTCGATGCGCGCCATGTACATGTGCATAGATAACTTTCAAATATATGCGAGAACAAGACGAATTATCATTTATTAAGTAAAACATTAAAAGCATATATATGTATATAATAAGCAGCAGGAGGCATTCGAGTTATTGCAGCCGATCTTTATCAAGGCCTTAAAAAAACGAACGTTTCTTCTGCTGCACCACAACCGGCTTGCCCTGCATGGCAGCCAGTTGTGCAGGTGTGGGCAGGCAACCAGGCGGAGGTGGCGGCACAACAACAGCACCCGAAACTGTGGTTCGCAAGGAGGCTCGTGGATCAATATTTAATACATGCGCTGCAGTAGCTTCGGCAGAGGTGCTGGGTCCAACTAAGCCGTACTCCTGCTGACCCTGTTGCAATTGTTGGTGGTGCATCATTCCATAATACTGGTTGCTAGGTATATGCATAGGCATTGCAGCTGGTGCACTGTCAGCCCCTTGTTGCTGACTCTGCTCGTATGTGGGCGGTGGAGCTCGCTGGGAATGGAAACATTAAAACACAATCGCAGTACGATCTAACTAACACGAACCATGGAGGTAGCGTAATCATAGTTAAAACTGTAGGGTGGCGCATTGTCGGGCTTGGATGCTTCACCTATGTTTTGAGGAAACAAAACGATTTAAAAAACTATGCATTGCTTTTGTTGATTTATTTACTACCTGAATCTGGTTTGGACATGTCGTTGTGTGTTTACTAGAATATATTTTGTGGATTCGATGGAGCACTTGGGCTGCCAGACTGTTTCAAAATATTATTGCAATATTGTCATTCACAGTTAAACGTTGGCACGCATCAGCTGTTTGTGTGTCAAACGGGAGGCAGACGAAAACGTACGATAAGCTTGGCAGAAACAAAAAACGAAAAAAATATATATTTATAACTTTAGAGTAACAAACAAAATTTTTTTGTAATAAAAGTAATCTGTCAACACACCGATTGCACCATAGAGAATGGCCCACGCAACCCCGCAGGTTGGTATCTGTGGAAGTTGAAAGCTTCCGCGTTTCTGTGACGCAATCGCAGCGCATTCTTGTTAATATATATTTTGATTATAAAGTGATATTGTTTATCAGGGCGTTAAGCTTCTAAATGGATTTAAGCGTCCAGGTCGCTTCGAGAAGGGTCTCGGAGCCCAGCTGCCGGAAGCATACAAGAAATTCTGGCGCGAATGGAAGCTAACAAAGCCAGCGGCGGTGCATTATATACCCAAGGAGAGTGAGTGGGAGCGGGACGAAGTGACGAATGCAATCAAACCCGTTCAAAGCATACCATTCCCACTCATCGATACACCGGAATCACACCAGGGTATATGGGGCGGGGAGGCGGTGATCAAAGGCTTCCAAAAGCGCGAGTCCACAAAGCGCCGTGTGCCGCATTTTTGGGTGCCAACGTTGCGACGCTCCGTGGTGCACAGTCAGGTGCTCAATGAGTATATGTCGGTAGTTGTTACGGAGCGTACGTTGGAACAGATCCACGAGTGCCACGGTTTTGATCACTATCTGCTCAAGAATTTGGCATGCGATTTGCGTTCGGCTTTAGCATTAAAGCTGAAACGCAAAATATTGAAGTCGCTGCAAATGGGCTGCCCAGCCCTATCCGCCGAACCCAAACATCAAAGTGAGGTGCTCAAGGAGTACAGTCCGTATCTGGCATCATATACGTCCGAGGAGATCGATTGGTATGGCCACACCTACCTCGAAGCTATACATAAGCTGCAAGATCAGTTACGCGCAGCCGAAAAGGTGATTCCGCATAAAGTTGAGTTTCGTAGCAAGTTGATTGAGCGTTTGCGCGAAGCGGGAATTGCGGAAGCTGGTAAAAAGGATCCAAGAGATTCTGTTTCCCATGGCGATCACAGCGATGCGGATATTGATGCGTTGACAAAGCTGTAAGTATCCATTCCGGCCATGCTCCAGCAAAGAGCTAAATACGTATTTCTATTACAGTGAATCGTCGACCCCATCTTCAAGCTGGTTGTCGAAAATAAATCCGTTTGGCAAGAAGGAAACGTAAAGGACTTTGCATTCAGTCAGCTACTACTGGTTATATGTTGAAATTAAATTTAATAAAAACACTACTGGATTTATCCAGTCCGTCAAAATTAATACCTGAATCAACCTTGGTGTTTAAACATATTTATTGCAAGTGTATAATACTTACGCACATTTAAGGAAACGGCATATAGACAGAAATAGAGAGACATTCACGATAAAGTAGTAAAAGAGGAATGATTGCAAATCCCGTCGAGGAAACATAAAACACTTTACATTCTTAAGCCTACATATCAATATCTATATATATATATGTGTATGTATAAGTGAAACTTTGTGCCAGTTTATGCCCTGTTGCGATCCATCATCTATGCAATAGGATTCTTTTTCATCAGTTCGATGTCTGCGTTCATCATATCGGTGACCAGCTCCAAGAAACTAACTTTGGGCGTCCAGTTGAGCTCACGTTTAGCCTTCGACGCATCGCCTTGCAGCAGATCCACTTCAGTGGGTCGGAAGTACTTTGGGTTGATGCGGACGCGCACAATATCCGTGTTGCGTTCTACGCCCACCTCGTCCACGCCCTTGCCTCGCCACGTAATTTCACGTCCGATGTGCTTAAATGCTGCTTCCACAAATTCCCGCACGCTGTGCGTTTCACCAGTTGCAATCACATAATCTGCAGGCGTGTCACGCTGCAGCATCATCCACATGGCCTCCACATAGTCGCTGGCATGTCCCCAATCGCGTTTCGAGTCCAAGTTGCCCAGCTCAAAGTATTCCATTTGATTTAACAAAATCTTCGCTACCGATCGGGTAATTTTACGTGTCACAAAGTTTTCGCCACGTCGCGGACTCTCGTGATTGAACAGTATGCCATTGCAGGCATACATATCGTATGCTTCCCTGTAATTGATCACTATCCAAAAGCCGTACATCTTGGCACATGCTGCAAAGGGAAGAAGATTAGCAAATTGTTCTCTGTAAATATTATGTTCTATCCCAACCATAGGGCGAACGTGGGTAGAACGGTGTCTGTTCATTCTGTGGCGTCTCCACAACCTTGCCGTACAGCTCTGACGTGGACGCTTGGTAGAAACGAACCGTTTTCTCCATTCCACATGTCCGTATTGCATCCAGTATGCGCAGTGTGCCAACTGCATCCACCTCTGCCGTATATTCGCTCAAATCGAAAGAGACTTTCACATGCGACTGTGCAGCCAGATTATAAATCTCCGTTGGTTTCACCATATTAATGATCTTCACCAGGCTGCTGCTGTCCGTCATATCGCCATAATGCAGTTTCATGCGTCCGCCTTTGTGTGCCTTCGGATCCGCATATAAATGCTCGATGCGTGTTGTATTAAACGTGCTGGCACGTCGTATGATGCCATGCACTTCATAGTTCTTCTTCAACAGAAACTCGGCCAGATAGGAACCATCCTGTAAGTAACAGACGCTAAAGTTGTAACAGAAAGTTGTTTTCAGAAAGTCCCATATTGAATACCCTTGCTAACTTTCTAGCTAGTGGCTAATACGTTCTATTTGTTTTAATTAAAAACGAGTTGACGAAGATCTCCGCAAACATAAACAACGTTGCCACGGGATGCACCTTTATGATCTTTCGGTCATTTCATTTAGATTGTTTGTTTTTGAATTTTTTGAATGTCCCTACTAGCACTCGCAAATAAAATGGAAATTCAGCTTTTATGTACACATCTTCTGATATAACTAGAATACTTTTCGTTAGGGTGTTTATTAAATGATTGAGTAAATGTGTTATACACACTTATTTTTTAATCTGTTTGTCGTGTATTAATGTCCACGTATGTAACCAGTAAACACATTCATTTACACACACACATACCTGTCCCGTTATGCCGGTTATCAAAGCTATTTTGTCACGAGCATTGGCTGCGTCACCTTCGCCGGCGAGGCCTGCTGTTCCATTCAAATCCTTGCTATTGTGATTGTTGGACAGACGCACTTGTTTGCTTCCCGTAGCTCCATCGCTTGCGGACATGTTAACTATCTGAGCTAAACCGAAATTTTGTTTCTTTTTTCCAAAAGGCGAGTTGGTGCGCGGTATAAACAATTTTTCTTTATCTACGTGGGAAACAGTTGCCACCCGCTACAGAATTATTATACATATGAAAGGTAGCGAAATAAAAATACATCATAGAAAGCATTACACCATGACGTCACAAACGTACAGCTGAATTGCTCATTTGAGCTCTCTCATATGCGCTACCTTCTAGCTGAATACTGCTATGGAAAAGCTCATTGGTCTGGCAGCACCAATCAGTTCGACGTACACAAACGCAGGCCAGTTATTAAATTGAAATTATTGTTATAAAAAAAATAATTTACACAAAATGATGGTAAGTTAAAAAAAGAAAAGAGAATGACTTTTAAGTTAAAGGCTGATGATTAACGCAGTTTAAATGCGCACCGGTTAATCGCAGCGGAAATGCGCACACAAAGAGCTGCTTATCAGTTTAATGGGCGTATAATTGAGTGTGTATAAGTTTTTTTTTGTTGTTGCATTATACTCGCTTATAGGACGGCACGGATGAATCAAACATATTGAATAGTCCCGCTACCAATAATGGGGGTACAATGGAAATCTCGTCGCCAAATCCATTGGCTCCAGCAACAGCAACAAATGGAAGCGGAAGTGCCACTTCACCTGACAGCTCATCGTCCGCACCTGTAACACCTGCAGCACTAGGAGAGAACGCGCTGCATGTTGAAATCTCTGATGCGCTCAGTGAAAAGGAAAAGGTCAAATTTACCGTGCACACACGCACCACACTGCCTGGCTTTGCTAAAAAGGATAATAATGTGGTGCGGCAGCATGAAGAATTCGTTTGGCTGCACGATCGCATCGAGGAGAATGAAGACTATGCGGGCTACATTGTGAGGAGTCTATAAACTAAATGTAAATTCTTAATTTTATAAGACCGTTTTTTTTTTTATATAGATACCGCCCTGTCCGCCACGACCCGACTTCGATGCATCGCGTGAAAAGCTACAGCGTCTGGGCGAAGGCGAAGGCAATATGACCAAAGAAGAGTTCAAGAAAATGAAATCCGAACTGGAGGCGTAAGTTCAACATTTTGAGAGTGCATTAAATTGATTTACAACTTATGTGATTTATTGTCTTAGCGAGTATCTGGCCACATTCAAGAAAACGGTTGCTATGCACGAAGTCTTTTTGCGTCGTTTGGCTAGTCATCCCGTCTTTCGTGTCGATCAGCATCTAAAGGTATTTTTGGAATACGATCAAGATCTGTGCGCCAAGCCACGCAAAAAGATGGCCATCTTTGGAGGCTTCGTCAAATCTCTGGGCAAGACCACAGATGAGATATTGCTGAGTGCTACTGTGCGTGATGTCAACGATTTCTTCGAGAACGAACTGCAGTTCCTTACCGAATATCACGGCCATTTGCGCGAGGCAGCATCACGCACTGAGAAGATGACGCAGCGCCACAAAGATGTGGGCTATTCACATCAGAAGATCTCGAATGCCCTCACAGAGCTCTCTACAACAGAAAAGGGGAATATGGAAACATTTGTGGCCAAGTCAGCGGAGGTGTTTGAACGCATCAAGGTGAACTTAATAGTATTTCATATAATCTTTAGCTCATTGGTGCTTATCTATCCTCTGTTTAGAATCTGGAGACACGCGTGGCAAGCGATCAGGATTTGAAGCTCGGTGACACTTTGCGCTATTATCAGCGCGACAGCAATGCAGCAAAGGCTTTGTTAATACGTCGCCTACGCTGCTTGGCTGCCTACGAGACAGCCAATCGCAACTTGGAGAAGGCGCGCTCTAAGAACAAGGATGTGCATGCGGTAAATATTTGTTAGAGAGCAGCTCTTCCTTTTGTTTCGCATTTCTAAAATCTTTTTCTCTATATGCTCACCGGTGCTTGGCAGCAAATTCTAATTGGCTTAGCAGCTGAGCAGACAATTTGCATTAATATTTAACTTCTTATCGTCAATATCGAAAAGCTGGCAATTGACATCACATTTAGCGCTTTTAAACTCTTAGTCGAAATATGCTTTGCTTTCAAAGACATCTGTACTACGTTCCCACCTTACTGAATTTCTGTAATATCGAATAACTGGTTTCCATTTATAAGCAGGGCTTAAAGTCAAAATTAATTTCTGTATATGTAGTTATAGCTTAGCATATACCTTGAAACTATTAATCCAGCTATATTTTAAATAGCATTCCCAAGTTCTTTAGCTATCTATTTGCATTTAGCTGCCGACTTTCCTAACTAATTTAAGCAACTCTTTGTCTGTCTGGCTATAGCAGCTCAGCAAGGTGGAGCATAATTTTTCCTATTGTCTGTATATTTCTCCTATTCTTAACAAACCAATTTTGAAACAATTGTGGTCGACGCTGCAATGGCATATGTATTGTAAAATTTTCTGCGTACTCACAAACTTCACATTGAACTCTTTCCTGCATTTCTTCTCCTACTTTGTGGCTCACTCTTTTCGTGTTCTTCTTGTTGTTGTGTCTTCCGCTGCAGCCTTTGGAGGTGCAAGAGGTATTTGGCATTTAACGTTTAACACATCAATTGGTCATCCTAGTCTAGCTTGCAAATTCTAAATTCAATGTATTTCGTCACCTACACATTTAGTTGCATTGCTGCATGCCTTATAGCAATTGCTCTGTAAAACTTAATGCATGTCTTTGTATATACTCTATTGTTTAAATAATTCCTGCTAATGCCTGCCTTGTTTAATGCAGGCTGAAACTGCTCAAGCCGAGGCTTGTGAGAAGTTTGAGTCCATGTCCGCCTGCGGCAAGGAAGAGCTGATTGGCTTCCGCAATCGACGCGTGGCAGCATTTAAAAAGAGGTATTACATATGTATTTTTTTTATATACAAACTCACTAAGTTCAACTTTTCTGCAGTCTCGTTGAGCTATCCGATCTGGAGATCAAGCATGCTAAAAGCCAATATGATTATCTACGCCAATCGCTGCTGGCCCTCAAGGAAATCGCCTGAAAAGCTGAAGCTGACTTTCATCATTTGCACACATTGTTTACACACACACACACACCATAAATTATTAGCCAAGGCCCCCTCCAAGGAGTAAATCAATTGGTTTTTGCTAAGCAAACAGTTTTATTATCTCTTATTAACTACAAATATAAATACATATATTTGTATGTATGTGTGCATATGCAGATACATATACATATATCGCATATAGTTAAGATCTAGCTTTCGTATATTTATGTATATGTATATATAAGCGAATATGAATTTTGGTTTGTGAAACAGATCGCTTTTATATATATGTATATATAGATATTGTATAACGAGCATTCCTTTATGAACATTTACTATTGTATAAACATTGAATACAGAATATACATATATGTATACATATATAATTATACACATCATAGGCCTTTTAAATATTGTCAAAGCATTTTTTGTATCACACCTATATATTATTATTATTGTATATCTATACTGTTTGGTGAACGTTGCCAGGGCAATGTGTACTGGAAGACCCCCATCGAAATTTTCCGCCTAACAACCCAGCCAAAAACTAACTGAAAATTGTTATCATCGTTAAATATTTATTGAATACGTTTCATTGAAAATTGTTGTTGAAATCATGGATGAGTTTGGTTGCTTTGATCCGAAGCTGCCGGCCAGCGATAAGTCCCCAGATTGGCGTACCTCCACATATCGTGGACATCGCCACATTACGGACACTCGCCTGGGCAGCAAGCTGAACGCCCCCCGCGAATGCTCCAACAAGGGCATTTTTGTTAGGGATCCTTTGTTGCATGAGAAGCAGCTGACTGAAATATCAAGCAACTATGTGTGGAAGGTGAGTTACGGCTTTCGATGAGCTGAGTTCTGGTATTCACATCTATCCTCCATGCAGTATCCCGACCCGAATGTCTTGCGGAATCCTTCGCTTAATATGAAAACGCAATACATGAAGCGTTTCGAGGAGGGCAATTTACGTTTTATTAAGCGCAAGACAAAGCCACTTATTAGTGTCTCCCAGGAGGCCTTTACCTTCGTTGACCTCCCATTCGAGGCAGACCAGATACCAATTCGCATGCCCACACCGGTGGAGACCACCAAAGTACTTATTGATCGTTCCAAAATTGGCTATACCAAATATTTGGATCCGTCGGCGACTACATATAATCTCTCCTACGTCCATTACACGCCGCAAGATATCAAAGCCAGCATTGCCGCCCCAGACACTATCACCTTTTGGAATTGGGCAGAGCGTGGCGGGGAGACCACCACGCATGTCACTCGCGTGGCGGATGAGGTTATGTGCGATGAGACGCATGCACTCGCCTGTCCAAAGCGTCGCCTGGAGTACCCAAGTCAGCTGAAATGTGTTCCACACACCGGCCTGATCACCGAGGTTCGTGCCAACTATTTGAACCCCAGGCTGAGCAAGGAATATATCGACTATGATACAACGGATGTGCAGCCCGTGCTCGTCTCCGAGCCCTTTGCTCCGTTTGCCAAGTCGAGCGAGTATGGCATCTACGGCTCCGGCGATCCGGTTCGCAAATACGTTTAAGATTGCATTTACGTTTGAGTTGATAACCGCCAAATATATATTTTAATTTAATATTCACAACTAACATTCACAAAGTTATTATACCGTAAACGCATGGGGCAGCAAGTGATAGACTGACGTGACCAGAACCTCCGCATCGTCCTCGAACATTGGCACTGGGGCACTCGACTCTGGCGCCTGCGCTATATAAATGGGTACATCTAGCTTCGCAAACTCGTTCATAAACTGACGACAGACACCGCAAGGAGTTGTGAACCCGGCCGGATGATAGGCCACCACGGCGCCGGCACTGAAGGCCCTGCAACCCTCGCTGATGCCCTTCAACATAGCCGTTCGTTCTGCACAGCAACCTGGTGTGAGCGCCGCATTCTCCACATTGCAGCCAGTGAAGACTTTTCCGTCCTTCGAGCGAAATGCGGCGCCCACCTTGAAATTGCTATATGGAGCATAGGCGAAGCACCGTGCGTTCAGTGCATCCTCCAATAGCTCACGGCCACAGTTATCTGTGAAGAAAGTGGACGGATTAAAGAGGTGATGGTGAGAGTGAGGAGTATTGCATGAAATGGAGTTAAAATAGAAAGCAGAGGGAGGAAACGTCTCCTCCTAGAGACTAGAGGGAGGAGGAAGAGGTGGGAAACTGATAGCCAAAGCTGTCTACTCCTGCTGGCACACTTGCTCACCCAGTTGACTGAAGCATATGGTATATTCGCAAAGTTTGATTGGATGTGGCAGCATAAGCGATTCGCTCACTGGGAATCCCGTCCGACATGGCTGCCGTCGATCCACTTCACGCTGCAGCTCCCTCAGCTGATCCATATAGAACTTCAGCTTCCTGCATGTCTTTTGCTTGGCTAATTCCTTCTGCAGCGCATCGAGACGTTTCATGCACTTTTTCAGCTCTTTACGTTTCTGCGACATTAGTATATTACTTCTGTTTTTGTTCTTATAAACTATATATTTTTATATTAATTTGTAGAGTCCTCCTAGCATTAGGCCAAAAACATAAATATTTCTATACAAAATTATTGAATTGACAGCATTCATGTTACAAAGGCCTACTATCTTTTCTATAGACTCGAATTATGATATATGCCTGTATTTTTAGATAATTCTCTCAAATATCTTAAACTTAAATTTCAACAAATGAATTGTGTTATTACCACTAAACTTCTGCCATCGCTATTTAATGAACAATTCATTCTGATAATGATAATGAATTCTCCTTTTATTATCTAACTTATTTATCATTATTGATTGATTAGAAGGTTTCGCTTTATTCGGTCCCAGGTGCATACAAATTTAATAATTAATAGTTTAAGCAATAATTTAAATAATTGCAATACACATGTATGTACATTCATATTAGACGTCTGCATGAATGGCAAAAAAAGCACATTCAAATGTACAAAGTCATCATTGAATTGAGTGAATACTTGTACAAAACGAAATGAGAATGACTGAAGTCGTGTTTCTCTCGGCTGCACAAAAATATACCCGAAGAGAAACGAAGTGAGTGAGTGAGCAGCAGAAGCTATTAAATGTTGTATATTGAATACATTCGAATATTGTCAGCTGTTTTCTGCTGTATGTGTTATCTGTTAAAAGAAAGAGAAAAAAATAAAGAAATATGTGTGCAATGTATTTTTTGTTGTGGAATTTTTAACTTATATATTTATTACAAATAATTAATTAATAATATTAGAATTTAAAAACATCATTTTATTAATGCTATCAGGGTTGGAAGCTATTGAACATCGATTTTCTGTAATTAAATAATTAATTAATTAAATTAAATAAATATTAAATCTGCAAATATCAACACAGAAAATATATATAGACGGTCACAACTACACATTTGCATTATGCAATTAGTTATGCATTGCATATGTACATATGTATGTATATTGACTGGCCATCCGTCCTGGAATTCCGGAACATGTCCCGCCTATGGAGGTAATGTCCCGGTGTCCCAACCTGACACGAAATTGTCCCGGTTTCTTTTTTGTTTTGTTTCAATAGAAAAAATAGTCAATTTGACAAAATGCAAACTGGAAGATGTTTGTGTCGAGACAAGTCAAGAATTTTATTTAGAAACGCAACGCAGATAGGGTAATACATTTTTTTACAACAAACGTACACTCGTGCTGTAACTCGGAAGTATTAAAAATAGCGTAAATTTTCAAAGGGTTTTTTTCTTACTAAATACACAGTGGTCAGACGAAAGAAATAAGTTATTGGTGGAGTATGTTACAAACATCCATGTAGAGGGAGAGAGCATAGGGGTACAGAAACATAGAAACATAGCATATGAAAATATGATCATGTACATACATATGCATGCATGTACGTGTGCTTGAGCGCGTGACTTTGAAGGCGCATTCTAGTTTAAGCTGTCTCGAAAAGTAAATGATTTTTTAAAATTTCATTTACCCTCTCAAATAAAGTTTCCTCACTTTTTTTTTTTTTTTTTTTTTGTAATAAATGCATCTTATATCTGAAACTATTCCAAAGTTTCTCAGCTCGAATTTCAGTTCAATTGCTTTAAATTCTTCGATTCTTCGTGAACGAAAATCTCGCTCCACTTAAATTTCAACAAATGAATTTTGTTATTTCCACCAAACTTCTTTCTCCGTTATTTAATAAATAATTCTTTTTTTATTTTTATATAGCCTAACTTTATAGCCTAACTTTATTTTTATTGATTGATTAGAAAAGATGTTCATCGTCCTATTGCACTTCTCTATCAATCCGATTAGATTGCAATTTCTAAAAAATCGTCGCATGAACATTTATTGGGTTAAATATATTTTTGAGAATGTTATTTCCCTCGATTAGGTATTTCAACTTGATATTATTTTATTGAGTTGAATATGAAATTCATAAAGAATGAAATTTCGTCATAAATAAATAAATTTTCAAATATATACAAAATAAATAACAATAAATATTAATTTAAAATTAGTATATTTGCATATATTTTAAATATAAAAACTATTAAATACGAAAATAAAATGAACAGGAAATGTATAAATTAATTTATTTTACAAAACACGAAACAACAAATCAAAGAAAAACTAAATATATCTGAAAATAAAAAAGTATATAGATTAAAATGTGTGTAATTAAATAATAATGTAGATTCCATTTATTTACTTATTCTAAAAAAAAAAAAAAAATATATATATATATATATATATATATATATCAGCGATCATCTCATCTAATTATTGCTTTAATTATTTATATATATATATATATATATATATATATATATATATATATATATATATATATATATATATATATATATATATATATATATAAATAATTAAAGCAATAATTAGATGAGATGATCGCTGAAAATTTGAATCCCTAAACTAAAATAAAAACTAATCTTATATCAAATAAAATAAACTTTTATTGCATTTAATAAAAAATATTGTACAACATAATTGATACTATATTGCAATTTTTCTAGTTCTATTTGTAGGTGTGGAAACTGTGAGGCAATAGGTTGAAGATCGATGTACAAAGGATTGGATCGTCATTGTGGAAAGGCTCCTCCAGTTGCTCCTGCGGCGACTGGGCGTCATTGGCCTGGCCTATATAGATGGGCATATCAGTGTTGCCCGCAAATTCTCTGATAAATTGACGACACACGCCACAGGGCGAGACAAACACATTTGGCTTATAGGCGACCACCGCACCGGATGAGAACTGGCGATAACCCTCGCTGATGGCCTTGGCAATGGCCGTCCGCTCGGCGCACGACGTCGGCGTAAATGCAGCATTCTCCACATTGCAGCCGGTAAACACTTGCTGGCTGTCTTCTGTGGCACGAAACGCGGCGCCCACTTTGAAATCACTATACGGCGCATAGGCGCGCTGGCGCACCTGGTGGGCGGCACGTAAGAGCTCCTGAGCGGTTGCATCTGCGTAAAGAGGGCGATACGTCATAAGCTATCAATACGTCACAGTCTATGCATACGTCAACAGCTACAAATAGATCACCACTTACCCAACTTGCCGTAGGGTAAGATGGTCTCCTTAACCTCGGGCTGTGCCAAGCTATTCAATAGATGCGACATAATTTATATAGAAATGAGTTTTGATTCGTTGGCGTTGGCGGGGGCGACGGTTGTTGTTATTTATAAATTATTTCAGTTGTTTAGCTAACAAAATATGGTTTCTGCGTGCGGGTCCGTGTGTTGCTTACGAACGTCCAACGGCAAATGGACAGTATATCTCGTCTGCTTGTTTTGAGCTAGTCAATATACACAATGTAAGCATTTAGCCGAAGTGCAAACCGTTAGCAGCTGCTAGCCGTTGATAACGACCTGTTCGGAGAGCGCGCATAGACCATAACATATACGTACTGGCATAGAGAGAAAACAACAGAACTGGTGTGTGTGTGTGTGTGTGTGAGTGAGTGCCTATAAGTGTTTGAATGCGAGTGTATTGTAATGGTACATACGACATCAGAAGAGGGTTGCTTCACAGTAGCAACTCGCTTCAAATGCGGGTATTCACACAAAGTAATTCATAGGGCATAAACATCTAGGGTAACGCTATTCACATAAAATATTGCACATGGTATAAAATCGTTGAAGGTATGCGCTTCACTTGCTACTGGAAAAGCTGAAGCCGTTTGGCAGCAGCTGCAGCACACTGGTGCAGAGTACACGGAGCGGTAGGTTGGTGGGCTTCGCTGCGTACAGGGCTATATCCCGGCCGTTGCTGGCGAACTCGGCTAGAAACTGTCGACAGACTCCACAGGGCGTTGTAAAGCCATTGTCCTGCTGTGCCACAACCGCGCAAGCCACAAACTGACGTTTGCCCTCACTGAAAGGAACGTTTTCTTATTGGGACATCGCTAGCTGGTTATATAAACATCACCCTTACCTTAGGGCTTTCACCGCCGCCGTTCTTTCCGCACATATGCTGGCGGCATAGGCGCCATTTTCGATATTGCAGCCAGTGTAAATGGAGCCGTCGCTCGTTCGTATGGCAGCGCCAACTGCAAAATTACTGTATGGGCAATAGGCGTAATTGCGTGCCTCTGCAGCAGCACGAATCAGCTCCTGTATGGAGGCATCTGTAACAGAAAAGTATTACATTTTTAACTATACATCTATTTAATAATTCATTTAGCAAGTCTCTTTGGCACCTAGGCTGTCATGCTCCCGCACATTGGCTGCGTCCGTGGCTCCGTTTATGAACACCTGCGTCATTGTTCTATTTTTTCCAAATGGTCTAATTGCAGCGACAAATATGTATGTATGTTGTGTTCTGCTTTGAGTACTATTTGAAACCTTTATACTGTATTGAAATCGAACGACTGTCGCAGCTTAATTTGTTTTCTAGATCATTTCTACGCCTTAACACTTATCAAGTTTCTATCAGTTGTCTTTTTTAACGACCTTGCGACATCTGACCTCAATTCTGATGAGTAGTTTATGTTCGTTATAGGCAACTTGACCTGTAGCTGTAGTCAGCTGTTTCAGAGATATTTAAAGCAATATCGATAAGTTTTCGATAACACGTTAGCATTGTAAACAAACATATTTGTATGAATGTGTATGAGCATAAATTCGTGAGTGTGAGTTTTCCAACATTATCAGCCCTTTATTACAATCGGAAAATTGGTATTGATATCAACGCAATCATTTAATGAGCCGTACTGGTTGATTGCTTTTTCTCGTCCATTCTTTTAGTATGACGCATACCAGCGAGACGCAGCCACAGGAAGACATTGAACGAACAATGGGTGGTGCCGATGAGCCTCTGCCGCAGCGACTGCCGCCCATCGATCGGAAATCAGATCGTTATCCATATTGCATTGTTTGGACCCCGATACCAGTGCTTACCTGGATATTACCATTCATCGGACACATGGGAATTTGTATGAGCAATGGAGTTATTCGGGACTTCGCTGGGCCGTATCTAGTCACCGAGGATAAAATGGCATTCGGCCGTCCCACACGCTATATGCGCTTGCATCCGAAAAATGTCGAAGGCGGCTCCTTTGCCTGGGATGAGGGCGTAACCAAGGCCTCGGTGCTCTATGGTACTCGTATGCATAATCTCTTTTGTGATAATTGCCACTCGCATGTGGCCACAGCGCTGTGCAATATGCGCTACTTGAATCGCACCAGCTGGAATATGATCATTTTATGCTTTTGGATGTTCATTTGCGGACAATATGTGAACTTCTGCGGCTTTATTAAGACTTGGTTGCCGTTTCTTATATTAATAACTGTTATAGTTGTACTTGCTGTGTACTTTTAAAATCTACAACTAATCCAATCTCTCTAGAGCGACATACGTTTAAGATCCATGTTTATTAGTGTGTAGTATATTGAAATGTACAAAGCTGCTAAGTACTAAAAAATATTTGTTGTTTTTGTTGATTTGCTCTCATTTCTCGAGAGCACGAGTAACATCATCAGCTACTGCTAGTAATTTTTTCCACTGTGAAAGCGTCAGCGAAATGCCTTTCTTGCCCGGCAAGACTTTCCCGTCCTTCTCATAATGTTCGCGTATGTCAACCATTTTACGGCCGCGAAACTCGTTAATGCGCACCTGACGCATGCCCTCTAGAGTCCATGTGGTGGTTTCACTGCCATCTCCGCTATCATTCTTATTTGATTTAACATCGGCGCCCTCCTTTGACTTTTTGCTCGGCGGTGGATTACGCTGCAAATTTTAGTTTGCGGGTGCACTTGAAATATAAGTGTGTCATTTGATGAAATCATGTATAAACTTACATCGTCCGGACCGCTATCGCTGTCGGACGAGGATTTTCTTTCAGCTTTCTTGATTTTTGGCATTTTTAATTTTCAATTCGTGACTTCGATTTCTCGCCGATGATAAAAAGAATTTGGCGCAAATAATTTGCGTCAACAGAGTTGCCATTCACAGCGCGCTACAACATTTTGCCATTCACATGTGAGCATTCACGCAAAAGGCGACTAGACGCCGAAACTACCGCATTCTATTTCTAACTGAGCGGCGGCATAATTTGTCGAGACGCGCATTTTTCTACGTATTTTGAGTTAGTTAGTATGTCGTTGTAAGAATATTAAGATAAAAGTGTAAAACTATTTGGTAAAAGTTAAATTAAATTAAAAGTTTCCTGGTAAGCGTGCGCGAGTTCTATTATTTCGATTTTTTGCAAATTTGCGCACAGTGTTATTTTTTGGCCGTACTTACATATATACATACATACAAATGTAATTACACATATGCATACATGCGCGCTTCTATATTTTCTATGGTACAGCTTTAGAGTAAAAATCACATACATACACATATAAAATGGGCAAGAAGGCTGATAATCCTGAGAGCAACAACCCATCTTCTGGCGCTGAGGAGGAGGAGGAGGAGGAATACGCAGTGGAAAAAATTTTAGATCGTCGTGTGCGCAAGGGAAAGGTTTGTATAACGTTGCATGGGAAAGAGAATTGTGAAATAATTTGCTCGCTGTAACACATTCATAGGTGGAATACTATCTTAAGTGGAAGGGCTATCCAGAGACTGAAAACACTTGGGAGCCGGAAGGCAACCTGGATTGCCAGGATCTTATACAACAATATGAGCTGAGTCGCAAAGATGAGGTGAGTAGTGTGTGCAAATTAATTGGTGCTGTTTTCGCAAGTTGATTAAATGATGCGTGTTTGGCAGGCCAATGCAGCATCTACAAATTCGACCAGTTCAAAAAAAGATCGACCGGGCAGCAGTGCCAAGGTCAGGGAGACGGGACGCACCAGTACAACTACCAACAGCAGCAGTACTGGTGGCAGCAGCGCTGCTGGTAGCGCTGGTGGTGCCGGCGGCAAGCGAAAGTCCGAGGAACCAGGTAAGAAGTGTATGTGTACAGATTATACAATATATATATATATATATATATATATATATATATATATATACACAGGTTACTCATTATATGCTTAAAATGACTAATATTGATAACTATGTTTTAGCTGCACCCGCGAGTAATAAATCAAAGCGCGTCGATTCAGAGGATGGGGGTGATCTAGTACCCGCTGGTGGCACTGGCTTCGATCGTGGCCTGGAAGCTGAAAAAATATTGGGCGCCTCCGATAATAATGGTCGGCTAACATTCCTTATCCAATTCAAGGGCGTCGATCAGGCGGAGATGGTGCCATCGACGGTAGCCAATGTCAAGATACCCCAAATGGTAATTCGTTTTTATGAGGAGCGGCTCTCTTGGTATTCGGACAATGAAGATTAAGTGTCACACCAGGATTTTATTATTCATGAATATATTTTCTCAGCATAATATACTTAAAAATTATGTATTTTTATCATCCATTTCCAACAAATAAACATGAACTACAAAATTTTAAGTAAACGGAAAATCGATGAAGAATCTATTCTTTGTGGTAGAATCGAGGATTTATAGGATTGCAGAAACTGGGCACTCTAGGAATTGAGCAGTTTGTTGGCCACGCTGCACTCTGAGTTCTCCAGGACATTGCCACAACATGACCAATGTCGGCGTCCTGGATGCCCTGCATGGCCATGGCCGCAGCCGCTGTAGCCGGGCATGCGTCCTTCGCAGGAGCATTTGACACTCTTGTTGCCCTTGCTGGAACAGAAGGCGCAACAGTGGTAGATTCCAGTGTGCGGACGCACCTGACGCGAGTGAAAGGTGTAGGGACTGCCCTTGATGGGCCGATCATTGATGGAGACCATCAGGAGTAGGGTGCCCTGCGTGTCGGGCGTGAAGGAGATGCTGTAGGTGCCATCGCGATGATCGGACACCTCGACGGGCAGGTACTTCACATTCGCATCCTTGTACTTAATCATGCAATTGATCTCCAATCCGCCATGACACAGCGCCACGCCATCTGCATCGCGCGTGAGCAATTGCAGATCCACCTTCCGGTGCAGACGCAGCTGTGAAAACCCCTCCCATTGCAGGGTGCACAGCGACGGCTCGACCGTTTGCATTGTTATAATCCCGTACAGAGGTATATCGTGCTGTTCCTTAGTGCCCGGCGCTCGGATTTTGGATAGAAAGTGCAGCGAATCGGAGATCTGTAAGGGATTGCTATTAGATACAGATAGTTGAAGAAAATAACTAGGAATGCCCTGAGGCAGTCCGGCGGGACTGTACCGAGCACATGCTAGATGTACGGGTAGGTACAGTTGCCCGGCGCGCAGATTTTGGATAGAAAGTGCAGCGAATCGGAGATCTATAAGGGATTGCTATTAGATACAGATAGTTGAAGAAAATAACTAGGAATGCTATGAGGCAGTCCGTCGGGACTGTACCGAGCACATGCTAGATGTACATGTAGGTACAGTTGCTACAAAGCCAAAACGTTTTGCTTTGTTAGCGAGATTTTTGGGTAGCTACGATACCCTCGTCTACTTTTAGAGTTTGCTTAGTTACTAGATCCATCCTATGGATCTATCCTATGGCATACACACCTTGGGATCGACGGGCGGCTTGAACTGTTGACAGTACTCGAAGCGCTTCAATAAAATGCGTGCAAAACTTAGTATCTCAACATCGGCCCCAATTTCCGATAGTTCCTGGCCAAAGCGTATCGCTTCCATGGCCTGTTGCGTGCGTTTCTCTAGAAGATCAGTATGAGATTAAGTACAGATGTTAAGGGAATTTCAGATTTCTGAAACTATAACGTATACTATCCGTAGCCATTTCATGTGGTGTTCTGCTAAGACAGCAAGTCCACCATAGAGAACCCATTAGTATACTATCTACTGAGGATCCTTTAAACCCCTTGGCTTCTCACCCAATTCCAGCTGCTGGTTGATGATGAGCTCCACCTTGGACTCCCTGGCTCGGTTGACCTGCTGCAGCAGCGTGTTGCGATGTGCCTGCAGTGCCTCAAAGTAGCGATTCATGTAGCTCTCCACCTGGGCCTGAATGTCATCGCATCTCGCATTGATGCTGCGCGTTATCTCGCGCAGTCGTTCGATCGAGTGCTCCGCATATTGGCAAAGCGGACGCGTCTGTTCGGTGGCATCACTCAGCTTCTTGGCCATCTGCAGTTGACTCATGGCCTTGGCCACCGTCTCGTGGCGATGGTTGCGATGCTGCAGCACCAAGCAATCCGGACAAGTGAGCTAAAACGATTCACGCAGATCTTACAAACTTCCTTCGATTGTCATTGACTACAGGGACTCACCTGCTGGCAGGGTATGCAGAAGGACTTCAGCTCGAAGCCATGCAGTCCACACTTGAGCAGCACCTGGCGGCTATCCCCCAATCCAAATTGTTGCTGCTTCTGCTTGCGTGCCCGTCGCAGCTCGAGTATGTTGCGCATGTGATGATTCGAGGTGCTGCGCTGACGCTCGTGGGCTTCCTTGCACAGCGAGCAGAGATTGAGAGTGCAGCTGATGCAGTGGTATGTGGCCTGTAAAGGGGTAAACGAAAGGAGACAATATATTGGGATTACAATCTGTCCAACTACTGGTGTACTATGTCGGTTAGGTATATCAATGGAGTAGAGAAGAGCTGTGTGCTAAAGAAAGTCCATCCATGGAGGATGGAGGAAAGGGTTCCTGACCGCTATTAGACTATGATGTTGCTATGTGCACTACCTGAGGAAAAGACAGAGGGAGAGAGAGAGAGAGAGAAATAGAGGTAGGGCCAGATAGACTCTCATTTATTTCACTTTCCTTTTCGATCTAATCATCTATCTCTGTTTCTCTTTCTTTCTCTCTCTCTCCTTTTATCTAGCTCGCTCTTTGTTTTTCTGTCTCTCTCTCTCTCTCTCTCTCTCTCTCTCTTACACCCTCTGCTTCCACGATTCTACGAGTCTTCCATTCTTACATTAATTTCCTCACTGCATAGAGAACACCAGACTTTCGAGATGACATCCTCGCCCGCCTGCAGACGCAGTGCCTCAATGCGTCGCACTAGCAGAAAGTTCTGTGGCAGCTGACGCACTCCACCCAGAGCTGGCAGCTCCGTGACGAACTGGCAGCTGTGGCAGCGTATGCTACGCACAGCTCCTGGATCGTTGGCGAAGCTGTTGTTCAAGCGCATGCTGGAGGAACAGGCGGAGGTCGAGCGTTTGCCCTGGAAGAGAAACAATCGTTAACTGAAGTCTGTGGAGAGCATTCTAATCCAATTCTAGCTACCCTCAGTGCCAACCGATCCAAGGACTTCTTGCTGCCCCGCTGCCTCGCTGGCGAGATGGTGGCCAGTTCGTTGGCCGTGTCGGGCGTGGAGGGGAGTAGGCTGTAGCTGGAGTGCTCTTCCCAGAGTGCCTCCTCTCGAAGATTCGCATTGACCAAACACTGTAGGCAGAAGGAATGCAGGCAGTGCAGGGTTCGCGGATCCGTGAAGACATCCATGCAGATGGCACATTTCAGATCCTCGGGATAAATGATATTCACGTAGCTCGTTGATTGACCTGGCAGATTCAAGCTGGAGGAGGGTGAGATCTGTGGCGTGCCAGCTGGAGAGGGCGTATAGCTGCGCGAGATTTGCGAGGCGGTCTCATAGTAATCACTGGCAGCAGCTGATGGAAGCAGCAGGCTGTTGACCTCCAGATCGGGTGTGGGTGGGGAGACACGCAGCTCTGGCGAGGATTTGAGGTTAAGCAGGCGCCTGGGCTGGGGCGGAATTATAGAAGAGCGGAGCTTAGAAGGAGGCGGTGGTAAGGGAGGCGGTGGCGGTGGAGGTGGGGGTGGCGCCACAGTTATATCACTTGCGCTGCTGGTGCTTGGCACAGATGCCGCCGACGCCTCACTCAAGACGTTGTCCAGCAGGGATTCAGGTGAAGTGGAGCTCGTTAGGCTGCTGGTGCTCGGATCACTGTTGCTATCGGTGACCAGCAGCTCCGTGCGCGAGCGTCGGATGCACTTGCGCGAATCGTAGGCGGGCAGGCGTGGCACTGCCTGGCTAGTAGCAGCTGCGCCAGCTAGCTGAGCAGGTGCTATGCTGAAGCTGAGCAACTGTGGCGCCGACTTGCGACGTAGTGCGTCCAGCTCCAGCACCATCAGCTGCTGCTCCACCTGCTGCGCCTGTTGCACCTGCACGGGCTGTTTCTCCTTTGCGCCAGCTCCTTGCAGCTTTATTTTGCTCGTATTCAGCTTCAGCTGCATTTTGTCCACTTTAGCAAAAGTGGGAGCTGCTGCTACTGCTGCTGCTGGTGTGGTATTTGGAGCTGCAGCTGACAGCTGCAATCGCTCATAGTCGAGGAGATTGCTCTTGGAGTGTCGCTTGAATGTGAGTTTGCTGTTGCTCTTGCTCATGACTTCGCTAGTTGCTTATGCAACGGATGGAATCTGGCAGTAAAAAACCCAATACGAAATCGAGAAAATAACTGTGAGTGAATTCAATTGACAGCTGCGCGTTCCATTACCAACTGCCTATGGCTTGACTCGAAGCTGCACGGCCAAAGCGTCGTATGCTTAATCTAATTACTCATTCGACTGTTGGTCAAATGGAAATGGAAACGTGAATGCGAATGCGAATGCGACTGCGACTGCGATTGCGGACGGGCTACAACTGTCAAATGTCTAGCATTGCGGCCAGTTGCGTTTTGCACTCGTTTCGCTGTGGAATGGCTCTGCCCGGTGGCATTGGAACACTACCAACCAAATGGGTAATACTCACAGCGACCACAGGTGACAAAAAGGTGCGAAAATTCCATCAATAGCTCATCCGTACATATCTTTCTATTGAAATGCATAGCTGCAATAACGGTATCTCTATATGCATAGGAAAATATCCATCCATATCCATCGGAGAACTGTGAATTAATATATATTAGAAATTCTTCAAAAAATATATTTAAAGACTTCTGTGAAGGATATACATATATTGTAGTGAATTGAATATTTAAAATTTACCAATTTTACAATACATTTGGGTTGCTATTTATTTTCATATAAATAAGAACTTTTAAAAATTTCCAATCAAAATGCAAATCCACATCACCGTTCTCCTTCACTTCTAATATTTAATAGTAATAAGTTCCGATAGTTAACTTCATGCTATCAGTTTATTGCACTTCTGCCGGCAAACAAGTTCACTTTTCTTACATATACACGCGCAAACACAAGAATTCTTATCCACATACATTGTATGACATGTTAAAGTCCACTCTCCCATCTCTTTCAGAATGCACCGTTATCAAAGTGCATCTGTTCTTCAATGACGATCAATCGCACATCCACTTGCTCGCTCACTCTCACTCTTACACGCTCTCTTGTTGGTAAAGCTTTTATGTCAACTTGTAACACTGATGTGCTTAGCCAACGTTCATACGCACGCACACATACATACCCATACCATTCACTCTCAAGTTGGCAGGGAGAGAGTGAGCTTTTGTACGCTGTGCGCCCTCAAACCAAACACAAACGCTCGGCACTGAGTCTCAGTGCAATTCGGGACTGGGCGAAGTGCGTACGCTGTTAACGGTTGTTTTTGGTTAATGTTGCTTCGTTTTATTTTTTTTGGCGCACTCAGCTCGGCTCGTGGAATCGAATTTGGTATCGGCATCGGTGCGGGTGACGCGTGTCGTGTCTCGATTTTTAGCTTTTGAAAGAATTGCCCAAGCAGCTGCACAGAACGCAACTTTCTATTTGTCGTTTCGTTTTCGTTAAAGTACAAAAACTGATATCGCTTGGAATTGAAATCTATGAAGTGCCAAATTATATGGAATATTACATGCATGCAAAATAAAAGCCTATTCATTGCACTGCGTTGAACTTTTCTATATTGCATTCTCGCAGTCGCTGTCTCGCTCTCTTTTCCCCTTCGCTGTGTGTTGTTTCTTCGTCAGCGACGCACCGTTTTCGTAGTTGTTGTTGTTGTTAGCGGCATTTTGTGTAAACTCTTGTTGTTGTTTTTTTTTTTGTGTTCATTTGTTTTGCTTTCGATTTTCAACCGGTAAAGAATAAAGGGAATATCAACATGGAAACGGTAAGCGAAAAAAGAGACTCAAGACCGGTTGGCGCGTTAGCTTAAAGGTCATTCCCCAATTTTTGTGAAATCTACATACATATATTTACATATTTATATCTATATGCACATACACATACATATATATCAGTCTGAACCGCGTCCGTTTCAAAGTTCAAAATTGTGATAAAGTTTTTTGGACGTTCGTTGCGTAAAAGTTTAAAGTCCCCCCCGTAGAGGCCCATTGAGTAGGCGTTAAAAGGCTTTTGTATTTATTTAAAAAAAAAAAAATCTGCAAGATAAGTCTTAGCAATTTAGTCGGCGTATTAGCAAGTTTTGCCTTCTTTCGCGTTAGTATAGTTGTGCTAATGCAAAACAGATTTATTATGTGAGCTGTTTCTTATTATAATGTAATGTATGCGTATAAATGCCAAATCAATTGGCAATTAGTAAACAGAATCGGAAAACAGTTTTGCAATAAATAATTTATAGCATTATATTGGGTTTTATTTTGCAATCAATAAGTTAATCAGGAACCAGAAATATCGAAAGAAACATATTTAAGAAATGTACAAAATTGTCTAAAATGGCATAAACAAAACAATTCATTCTACTAACAATATGTATGTATATTAAAAATTTCTCAAAAATTAAAACTAACTATATATTTCATAAAATTGCTTTTGATTTATTAACTATCAGTTTTTAAAGGTCTTTTTTAGCTTTATTCACGTAAAAAATTTTACTGAAGGGTTTTACGAAAAAACCCAACAATAATTCGCAACATTGTTAGTCTAGCAAAAAAGTGTTGATTTATATCAAATGCCTGTCATATTTAGAGATAAAACACAAAATTATCTAACGGATGCGCTAAAAAAAAAGGAAAATCAATAAATAAATAATAATAAATATTTGATTACAGACGGATAACTACAGATTCGGCACAGTAGACTATATCGTATTTCTGGGCATGATTGTGCTGTCCACTGGAACGGGCATTTATTTCGGCTGCTACAAGTAAGATTTATTTAGTGTAATACTTGCCCATTTAGTGAAATGAGTATATTGGTTTTGTCTCTATTAGAGGGAAACTTCAAGTTTAATTATAACTTCTATTTTCAATTTAAATCCATTCAGTTACTTTTTTGAGCGAGTATCATAAAGTTGACTCTACCCGACTCTATTTTTTTTAGAAAATCGAAGAAAACTATTGAGGAAGTGGAGCCTAGTTTGCCGGACAGCGTTGACAAGCCGCGTAAACAGGACTTTGGCTCGGCTAAGATGAGCGAATATTTGCTCGGATCGCGCCAATTGAAAGTTTTTCCTGTTGCCATGAGTCTAATAGCCAGGTAACTAAGATATATATGCATAGATATATGTGTGTATATAACACTATCTATAATTTATCTCTCTTATCTGCAGCTATGTATCGGGCGTCACAATACTGGGCACCACGTCGGAGATATATAATTATGGCACACAATACTGGTTTATAGCAATAGCCATTCTGTTACAAGGCATAGCTGTCGCCTACATATATATACCAGTTTTTACGGTACTGCAAGTCGGCTCGTCCTATGAGGTATGTGCATACATATATACATATATCTATATCTTTGTCCAAATCATAAACTTTATAGACAGCGTATAAACTAAGCTGTTAAGTCGAATCACAGTCACAAACGATAAGAAAGTGTAACCCGACTCTTGCTTTGGCACTTAATTAGTGATACTTCGAACAACGCCTTTTGATTGGGCATACTTGTTGTATAAGGTCAATATAAATATTTATAATATATAAAATATAAGCATAGGTATAAATAGAACTAGAAGATAAAGTATAAGTATGACAATAAGAATAAGTATAAATATGTGTCGAAGTAGTTGTTGTTTATCATACAGATCTTATCAAATATTTATGTTTAACTTTTGTTTACCTAGTATTAGATTTATTAGTTATGTTTTTAGTATTGTTTATTTATACTAATTATATTTTTGTATATTTGTGTAAAGTAAATCTATTTTTATCATTTAAGTGAAGCATAAAACTCAAAGTTACTTAGTTAAATTTTTCATCACGTCAAAACTGTTTGGATAGCAATTTTAATACTCATTAAAAGGGTATTATAATGTTTCTGAGTTCTTAACTTTAACAGTGGAATATTTACAGACTCCCTCTGAGACTGTTTTTTAGACCTTAAGCGAGTATTATGCAGTCGCTGTTGGTTACTGCAACATTCCTTACTGGTTTTCATTTGATTTGTCATTGTGCATTGAAACCTTATGCTTGGCCAATTTGTAACCCAAGTCGAGAAATTGTCGGACACATTTTAATTAAGGCAAAGACTTGAGCAAATGTTGCTCCGAAATGGACTTTGCACGCTCCACTTGGAATTATTATTTGTATTTTATTTTTTGCTCATAGATGAGAGAGATTCTCTCTCTCTCTCGCATACACTCAATTACATATTATAACTGCTGTTCGAGTCGATGTGTATTGGGTTAGGATAATTACTTCCCGGTTTTTGTCCGGGGCAACTGGTTCAAGGTTGCGTGCGTTATGAATTTTTATCTTATTTGGCATGAGTATTTATTTGACTTTAAGGGTTTATTGTATGCTATTAGCTACTGAAGGCTTATAATTAGTTAGATTCTCTAATGCCAATGGGCAATAGGATAGCTACTAAATCTACTTTTAATAACAGGCATTATGCGAATTCGTCACGAATGAACTGGAGACATTTACTAGATGGGAGATGTGGATTATCTCAAACTTTTTTTTTTTATAAAAACTAAGAAATTACCCAAGTATTAAAATATATATAGATTTTATATATATACATATATATTTATTCTATTTTCAGTACTTGGAAATGCGCTTCCATTCGGTGATACGCAGCATAGCTTCATTTATGTTCATTCTGGACGAGGTGAGTACAGCTGAGCGAATCATCCAATATTTATGACTCATATGACTCATCTCTTCCCAGATACTCTTTCTGCCTTTCATTGTATATGTGCCCGCTATTGCATTGAATCAAGGTAAGTAATTTCTCACTAGCTTATCTCAAGCAAATATAATATTTGAACACTCTCTCGATCTCTCCTCACAGTCTCCGGCATCAATTTGCATGTGATATCATCGGTGATTGTCATCGTGTGCGTCTTCTATACCTTTGTGGGAGGCATCAAGGCCGTCGTCCACACGGATGCCTGGCAGACGCTGGTCATGTTCCTCTCGGTGCTCGCTGTGGCTATCCTGGGCACGTTTTACGCCAACGGAATGGAAAAGTTGTTCGACGATGCCGCCAAGGGTGAACGCCTAGTCTTCACCAATATCAATCCATCGCCCTATGTCCGCCACACGGTGTGGAGCGTGCTCATTGGCGGTTTCTCGTATTGGACCTCCTTCAATGCGGTCAACCAGACCATGGTGCAGCGCTATATGTCGCTGCCGTCGCTGAAGCAGGCGCGCGCCTCGATGGCCATATTCACGATTGGCGTGGCTGCCTTCGTCTCCGTTTGCTGCTACGTGGGTCTGCTGATCTTCGAGAAGTATCAGGACTGCGATCCGCTCACTGCAGGCCTCATCACGCACGACGATCAGCTGCTGCCGCTGTACGTGGTGCAGAGTGTGGGGCATCTCTCTGGCATGGCTGGTCTCTTCATTGCGGGCATCTTTGGCGCCGCCTTGAGCTCACTGTCTGTGGTGCTCAACTCCACGTCGCTGGTCATATTGGAGGACATTGTGCGGGGCTGCTTCAAGATTCAGCCCAGTGAACGCGCCTCCACGATCTTGGTCAAGGGCAGCATTCTAGTGCTGGGCGTGATTGCGCTGTCCCTGGTTCTAGTGCTGGAGCACTTGAGTGGCGTCTTGAGCATCTGCACCTCCATGACGGCCATTGCGGCGGGCACCACCTTTGGCCTCTTCACCCTGGGCATGCTCGTGCCGTGGGCGAACAACGTGGGCACAGCGGTTGGAGGCATCGTGGGCGCTTTGCTGGCCGGCTGGATATCCTTTGGCACCCAGTTCACCATTGCAGCGGGTCAGCTCAACTCGCAGAAGCTCAACGTGTCCGTGGCGCAGTGTACGACGAATGTAACGCTGCCGGAACATAACTGGGTGAATGAGGAGGATGTGTTTCCACTCTATCGTCTCTCGTATCACTGGATCAACCCAATCGGCGTGGCCACAGTCATTGTAGTCGGCTCCATTGTCTCGCTGCTGACGAAGCCCACGGACGTGAAGACGCTCGACGCGGACCTCATATCGCCAGTCCTCCATCGATTCCTGCCCAAGGAGTGTTTCGTCAGCCGCCAGCAGCAGCAGACGAATCTGCTGAATCGCACATGAATACAAAGCAGAACCAGGTGCCTAAGCCAACTTAAGTTAACTACAAAACGAATTCCTAAACCAACGGGAGTCGCAGCTTCCACTACATTCTATAAGTTAATTTAACTTGAGCCTAATCTTAGTTTAGTAAGTAGTACAAATCTGCAGAAGGGCGCACACACACTTATATATGTATACATACACACACACCCATTCACACACAGGTACAGGAATTTATGAATCTGTAGCTTTATTGAAAACTGATTTTCTTTTAGTTTACGTTGAATTCCAGTTAAATTGTATTTTCTTTTGGCATTTTTGTTTGTTTGTTGTTCAAGCATTATGTCTGTGATAAAAGGATTAATAACTAACTAAATAAATTAATAAATATATTATATATGTAAGTATATATCAAGTTTGCCATTGCCAGTGATATGAGAGTCAGTGATTGAGCACGTATTCTACAATTTAAACAACAATTTAATTTAAGCCTCTAAACTTTGGCAAAGAATCACAAAACCATGAATATTTCATACTCCAGTTAATGTTGCTTCAAATGGACTGTCTCCGATGTCGTTAGCCTCCGCCTGCACCAATACTTTTTTAACTGGCAGGCGACGAGCACCAAGCACGCAATGCCCGCACTTAAATAGCTATTGATTACGAATTGCTGTGGCAACATTTTGCATCTGCTGACAGCATAGTCATCAGGCGTAATGGTGGCCTGAAAGCAAGGGCAGTTCGGCATTGGTCTTGGAGAAGTTAGAAATGACTGTAAGGGCTTACCAGCATAAAACTGGGATTCACATTATTGCGCCAGCTAAAGGAAGACACCGTATACTCGTCAATGCCCAATCGGTTGATGTTGTGGCAGTAGTAGTGCGAATGCCCGGCAAAGGCGAGCCTCGGCTTTAGCAAATCGCCTATCGTGTCGGTCGCCTCTTTGGAGAGGACATGATACCGCTCTCTGAAGGCTTCAATGTGTGGCGCATCGTGCTCCCGACACACCTTGTCCGATATCCGATACGTGGGGAAGTGCTGCATTATTATCGGCTGGCTATATGGATGACGACGCGTGCGTGCACACTCAGCCACATGCGGATGCTGCATGCAGAACAGAGTATTCGATATAGTCTTCAGCGCTTGCTCTGCCTCATTGCAAAACATGCAGCCGTCGGCCTCCATGGCCATGGAATTGATCATAACAAAGTGTATTTGTTTAATGGTGTACAAATGCACCATAGAGTAGTTTAAATAGTGCTCGAAGCGCGACGTAAAGAAGGGATGCATCCTGTCGAGATCAAGATGGACATTAAAAGTCAAATGTGTCAATTTCCAGTCCATAAGATTTACCTGTGGTGGAAGCCCACGTCGTGGTTGCCCACCACGCTAATTAGCGGTATGCCAGCAGGGAGATTAAACATTTGTAGATAGCGGATTACGTAGCTATCAAAGTGCTTGTCGTTGACCATGTCGCCCTCGTCGAATAGGTCGCCCAGCACAAAGACTACGTCCGGTTGTAGCAGCCTCGAGGCTGCTTGGAAAGAGCGTTTCATATGCCACTCCCTATACAGCTTGTCCATCCAATGGCCACGATGGGGGCCAAGCAAATGGGGATCGGCTATGACCATCGTTCGCAGTGGATCATCCACATACTTCTTGCGGCGTATTTCGGGCCATTTGCAGTTTTGTAGCACGACAAAGTCGGCCACATATTCGCAGAAGATTATTGCGCACAGTACAATTACAAAACATGCGTAAATCCAACGCATATTCCTATAAAACACAATTTATTGCTACCCGGCGATGTAAACAAACGCAAAAATGAAATGCAAGTAAAACCGCAGGGATGGCGAAAATAACGTGATACATTAACCAGGGGTGCAAGCCATTCAAGCGGCAACTTTATGAAATAATGTTAAATTTTGAAAATTTTCCATAATTTGTATGTTTTATTTTAATTTTCTTTTTTTTATTATTTATTCAAAGCCTCTGATTTTTTACTCTGCATTTTAAATAATTTTAAAACATTTCAATACTTTACGCTTTTCAAAAATTCAACAAATTCCTCTAGGGATTATGTGAACTAGGGCTGTAGGCCATTTGGGTATTTTAAATCGATAAATCGATAATTGCGTTGGCTGGCGCATAACTGCAATTGAAACTGAAAATCCGATTTGACAATCACATATAATAATTAAATGCAACTTATATTGTGTGCAGTTGTCAGATGTTCCATTAAATTAAGCAAAATCGACCACAGATATTCACTATATTGGAATGTGTTCCCCTTTAGAAGAGATCGTAGAAATAGTTCAATCCTTGACCCAACTCCCAAATGGAGATGCCAACGCCCAGCTGCTGAGCCAATTGGATGCGTTCATTGATCGAATAAAGCGTCGGATAAAACACAATGTGACGACCCGTTTCGGTTCTAGAGAATTAGCCTCATTAGATTTAATTAGCAAGCGAAATAGATGACCACTCACCTGATTTCAAAAAAGTTCTCCATATCGCGCTCATCATGGGTCAAGTGCTTCTTCACGTGCCTGAGCAGGTCCAGGTACGGACCGTATGTAATGGGGCCTCCGCCATCGGGCGTATAATCATTGCCATACATGTTCAAGCCCAGCAATATTTTAGCTCGCTTCACCTCCATATCTTGGCAACCATCAGGCACGATGTGCTCCACAGCAGAGCGCACCCAATAGAGTGGAGCATTCGCGCCTGGACGCTGCACCGTGGAGTAATCATATGTCATCAGAGAGAAGGCATATATGTACTTGTACAGTTTGTCCATATGCTTCTCACCAAACAAATTTGGCATGTCCTTGCGTTGCGGTGGAATCACTAGAATCAGCCGAATTTTTTGCTTCTGCAGCTCCTTGGCTGTAAAATCAGAGATTTATGTATGAATATGGAAGATTATAGAATAGAGGGTAATTGTATGCACCCATTTGCAGCACCAAGGTGTAGAGTATCTTATCATCTATGCGCCCCGCCAGCTGCGACCACACCTCCAGGACCAATCCATCGAATCCATGTTGCTTACACACTCGGATCAGCATTTCATTTAACTCTGTTCGCTCCTTCGCATCGCTCAGCAACAGCTTTATGTCTCGATCCGTAAAGTGATCAAAGATGATGCGAGGGAAGACTAGAGAGAATATTCAAGAAAATGGTCAAATAAGTAGGTCTTCATGACAGCACGGATTATCATTAGTTTTACATTTTACAGTGCGCAGCTGCTGCTGTTGCTGCACTTTGCCCTTGCGCCGTACATCATTTATCCAGCCAGCATCGATGTCGTGGTCGCCAGCTATTGCATATTCATCTCCACGTTTCACGATTTGTAGCCAGACAGGTGAGATGATATCAAATTTCTTGGCAAAGATTTTGGCTATATCATAACCATGCGAGTTCCACTGCAGGAAAATGAATAATTAGTCAAGGTAGTTTCTAGCTGAAGGTCTCCAATACTTGCCGGCGTCACGTAACCCAGCACAGTGCCATTGAAGCGACGCAGCGCCGTGTCCTTGTAGTAGCCTTCATGATGAATTAGTATATCCTTTGCCAGGGGCTCCGGTGACACCAAGTTCAGGGTAAACACATCGTTGTCCTGCGGACCACGTAGGAATTTCGAGTCCCGTTTGTTCTTGTTTTTGCTGTCGGGCGTCAAGGTGCATAGCACGTATTGGCTACCTAAGAGAATGCACCAAATAATTTGTGCATTGATTGCTCGCATTTTCTTGTAGCAGGGCTGAGGAACGCCTGGATGCACACAGAAATCAATTAGAAATAATAGGATGGTCTAGCATGAGCGTACACTGCAGCCAATAGATGTATTTTGCTCTTATTTTACAATTTTATCAGCAGCGTTGTTAATCAATTTCATTTTATCACATTAGAAACAAACACGTACCCAGCAAAACCAAAACACCGGCACATACAAAGCTCTATTCGCTAGCGATAACCATTTGCTATCGATAACACAGGCAAAGATATCTTCACTGTAATTCATTTGAGTCGTTATCGTTGAATGCAATTTTAATATTTATATTAACAATGTGCTCGTCAGATATATATAAATATATGTATGCCTATGTAAATTTCAACTAAATTTCTTTCCTGCACATAGTAAGAACAGTTTCTCCAATTTAATGCAAAAGAAACAAGTGATTCGAATTTTAGCAAACCAGTTAACGTATAAAAAGGCGCGCATTTTAAACGTATGCATGCAGTTGTATACATATGTATATATTTATATATAATTATATTTAAAAGTTTACATTGTATAAATTAGAGGGGGGATTATCAACATAATGCTGTCTAGCTTAACATCCAAAATTAAATTAAACTTATTGCATAGACTAACAAAAGAAACTACGTACAATCAATTAGCCAAAAACTAATTATCACTTTAAAAAATGAAAAAAATTGATTTAAAAAATAATTAAAATTATTAACATAGCTCTAGGTGTATGTGTATATGTGTGTGTATGGGTGTGGGTGTGGGTGTGTATACAACTATCATAATTGTTAATCATAATCATTTAGCATATTTTGTATAATGTATAAGTATTTGTATATATTCAGACAAATACACGCATTAGATCGCTGCCCGCCGAATTGCTGCCCGGCGTGGAACTGTTGCTCTTCCACGGATTGTTGCTGCTGCCACCATTGCCGCCCACAGGCGCTGCTGTTGCCGTTGCAGTCAGTTGAATGTTGCTGCTGTCGGACAAGGTGCGCAACAGTTGCTTCCTCAGCAACTGTTGCTGCGGACTGCCAATGGCATTGTTGTTGCTGTGGCTGCTGTTGTTGCTGTGGCCGTGCAGCTGCAGCGGTAAATGCATGGGTCGCTGGCGCTTAAACGGGCGATTGTTGCTGACGCCTCCGCCGCCAATAGGCAAGTGTCGATGCTGTCGCGTGGCGAGCAACTTGCGCCGTTTCTCATAGAAACTGTGCATGCGCTTGTTCTCCTCCTGCTGCTGCTGCTGCAGCTGTTGTTCGCTAGCTTCGCTATAGTCTGTCTTATCTTTCTCCTTTTCCTTCTCCGGCTTCAGTTTGCCCGCCAGCAACTCTTGCAGGCGCTTCACTGTCATGTTGCCAGCGCTGTTGCCGAGGCTGCTGCCGTTGCTCAGTTTACTGAGCAACGCCCGCTTGTTGCATCGCAGTCGCTCCTGTGCTATGACGCTGCATCTCTGGGCATAGATTGTCTTGCCCTGACCGGCAGCGACGCGTGGCAGCAACAGCTGCTGCGAGCCATTGCTGCTGCCGTTGCAATTGACAGTTGGCGGCGGAGGCGGGGCACGCGCCAAGGTGCCCACGACGCCGCTGCTGCCATTGAGCGAGAGCAAACTGTTGTTGGCCTTGCGAGTAGTTAGGAGATTCTTGCGCAACGTGGCGCCCATGCCATTGGGCAGCTTCACCAGGCCGAAGGTATTCATGGCCAGGGGGCGGGGTGGCCCCGAGTATAGTGTCATATTAAAGTACGTTGAATCCTCGTGGTATTTGGCGTTGGCCAATTGGCGATGTGGCTGGGCGTGCAACACGCCCTCAAAGTGGTTGAACCCGTTGCTGTTGCCACCCGTTGGTTGTAGTGGTTGTTGTTGTTGTTGTGGCTGGTTGTTCTCCAGCTTGACAGTCTTTGTGTGGTTGTTGGCATCCCCGCTAACAGTCTCCAATTTACTAAAATCAAATTCGCCCAGCTCATCGTACATCATCTGATTGCCGCCGCTGCCGCCGACATTGACGCCCTCCTGCAGCACGTTCACATTCACGTTCACGTCGACATTGTCGTAGCCCGCCTGGGTGAGAAACTCGGCTATGACCTGCTGCTGGCTCTGCTGATCCAGGACAGACACCTGGTTATTGTCGGTAATCTCATAGATAATACTGGGCAGCATCAGTTGCTCGTCGCCGGCCACCTGCGCCGTCTCCTCCACATCGTCCGTCAGCGAGGGCACATTGTAGACACTAAATTGCGCTGTTGCCTCTGCCTGCAGTTCCTCCTGCTTCAGCTGCTGCTGTTGCTGCTGCTGCTGGTCTGCCTGCTCAAGCATTTGCTGCTGCTGATAGATCAGCTGCTGCAGCTGCATTGCATCCATGGCAGACAGTTGTGTCTGCTGGGGCTCCTCAGTGTACACCTGTTGCCCATGCTGCTGCTGCTGCTGTTGGTAGAGTGCTGCTGCATATTCCGCTGCATCGGCTTGAATTGTGCCGTCGTCGAAGCGCAAACGTTTCGTATTCGGCTCCAGCTGATCCGCTGACAACTGCTGCTGTTGTTGCTGCTGCTGTTGGGATGTGTCTAGAGCGCTCTCGTCGAAGGGCAGGTCCGACTCGACAGTGTTTAGGATTTCATTGATGAACTTGCTGTCGAGCATGTCCAGAGTCAGCGAAATGGAATTATCATCGGATGCGTTCTGCATAAGGGGCAGTGCCTCCTCGGTGGCGGCTGAGAGGTCGACTTGATGGCGCTGCTGCAGCTGCTCCACATTCACCTGGCCAGTGATGGAGGAGACTGCCTGATCCAGTTCGCTTAGCTGTTGCTGCTCGTAGATTGGCGCTAGTTGCTTCTCCTTGGCAGGTTTGCTGCGATGATGGGATGTGGCTTCGCCTGATCCGGTCGTTTTCAGCTGCAAAGATTTGGGGCAAGTGCATTAAATGTTACATGTTACTCGTATACCTATGTGCCATACCTTCTTCTTGCTGGGCTGATGCTGCTGCTGCTGTTCGTCCAGCATGTTGTTGGCGGGTGAGTAGTTGATGCCGTGCTCGTTGCCGTTGCCATTGCCAGCAACTGTTGCCGGCGTCGGCGGCAGCGAGCACGAAGAATTCGATGACGAGGAGAAGACAGTTATAGCGGGCTGTGCGCCGGCTGCTGTTGGCAGCTCCTCCTTGACGGCAGCAACAGCTGCTGCTGCAACGGGTGCCGGTGCTGTGGCAGCGGTGGCTATGGCACTGCTCTTCTTAGAGCCACCCACCTTGGTGTGGTGCACATCCGAGTGGTGGCGATTCTTGGATGACTTGGAACGGGAGCGACCAGTGCTGCTGCTGTTGCTGCTGCTGCTGCCGGTCTTTGAGGAACTGCTACTCTTGCTGCTGCTGCTTTTATGACGCGACGACGACGAAGACGAGGCCGAACTGATATTGGTGTTATTACTATTATTGATAGCTGCCAGGGAGCTGCTGGAGCCGTTCGAGCAGCTGGACATGGTCGCCGACAGCGTGTCCGTGGGTGAGCCCAACAGCTCGCCATCTTGGCTGCTGTCGGCGACGGCAGCAACAGTTGCCGCCGTCGCACCGGCGGCGCTACTGCTCAGCTTGTTGGGTGCCGCATCCCAGATGCTGGGATGCTGCAGTGCGATGTGATTGTTGAAACCGGCCTTGGTATAGCTGCCATTGCAGGCGTTGCACACGACAATGTCACGTGCCGCCAGCTTCGGCACCATGTCATAGTAGGCCATGTCGGAGGCATTCAGACGCTGCACCTGCACCACATGCGGAGCAGCAGAGCCGCCGGCAGACGAGGCCTTGTTGTTGCCGCGCAGGTGTGTCTTCTCCGCTGCGCGTAGCTGCTTGATCACCTTATCCAAGTCGAAGACCTGCTGCCACTTCTGGCCCTGCATGCTGCTCAGCGAAGGCGACAGCATGTTGCCCAGCTGAGCGGCAGCTGCAGCAGCGCCACCAATTGAATCCGACTTAGAGGAGGAGTTGGTCATGCCGGCTGCTGCAGCTCCAGTGGCTCCAGTTGTTGTTGTTGCTATCGTTGTTGGTTGGGACTTGGCGTGTTTGCCGTTGCCTTGCTCCGTGTAGATTAAAGCTGCAGCCACATCACTCATGGGCATGTTTGATTGCTCTCCTTGCTGTGCCTGGCAGTGAGTGAATGATGCGAATGCAATGGTGGAAGCTGCTAACGGCCAATGTTGATGAGGAGGTTAACAGAGTTAGCTAGGCGACGCGAGTGGCATTGTCTGAAAAAAGAAATGGGATAAATAAACAAAACTTTATTCGTGTTATCAATAACAATAGTTGCGCAGTGCATGCAAAACTGTGTTGCCGTTGAATGTTGCGACACATGCTGCTCGAGACGAACAGCTGAGCGCTACTGTCACTGCAAACGCGAAGCCAGCAGGTTGGCAGCCCTGGTTCCACAAACACATATGCAAATTATGCCATCTTGCTCGCACACACGCACACACACACTCACCCGTCCACAAAAAAAAAAAAAACAAAGCCCGTTTAAAAAACAATGCACACAATAAATTCGACACTTTTCCCACAGCGTTCGTTCATTTAGTTGAAAAGCTCTGATTTTCACTTACATGTGCGTTATTGTTAACACAATTCCATTGTGTTCACTCGGCTTGCTGTTTAGCCAATTTTCATTCGCCTTGCCGTCGCCAGAGTTGTCAGACTGTTTTGCTCGTCAAAATGAAAAGAAATCTGCATTTGCGTAGTGATTCGATTGTTGTATATGTGGTTTTGACAGCAACTTTCAAAAGTTGAAATAATGAATACTCCCAATGTTTTACTTCAAATGGTTTCCAAATGGAGCAGAATTGGTCACTCACAAGTTCAGCTGCAGTGCAGCCATAGTTTAGCAAACCGATAACTAATAATCGATAGATGGCGCGCCATTTGAACTGGTGTGAATAGATAAAAACTTCATTTATTCAAGCATTTTTTATTTACTGTAACCACTTAAGTTAATCAATTAATTTACACACAATGGAGTGAATTGTACAGCAGACTCTATGGGCAAATGAATAAGTATGAACTAATCTCCAGCTTTTGCACGTGAGTATATAGTAAATAACTACTATTCTGTCTAGTTCTGCTTAAGCAGCTTTCGCTGCAGCAGTTGAAATTCCGGCGCCCAAACAATATTGTTAACAAATTCACCCAGGAAGTAGCAGATTACACTCAAAGCCACCAGGCCAGCAAACATCACAGCACGCAGCGGTATGGGCAAGATTTCAAGCAGGGGGTAAACCCACTGACCACTAAAGTAGCGCACAATGTTCACCCAAATGACATAGAGAATCATAAAGGCTACGTTGCCAGTTACGCCGGCCAGACGACTGGGATATCGCCGGAAGCAGGTGAACATATCCATGATGGCCAGAAGTGCAACGTTCGTGTGAACTACATGATTCAGCCAGCTGCAATGATCCAGTTCAAGAATAGCAATAATTAAATAAACAATAAGCTTATGGTCACACTTACTTGGGGAATATTTCGTCCAAGACGGCGGGAAAAATGAGCTCACGATCATATAAATAAATAACCCAAAACGAGATGCACACATTATGCGCAATGGGAAATGCAAACGTGGCGAATATATAATCACGTAGCTGCCGTAAAAGAGACTTTGGCGCCACGGTCACCACATTACTGCCGAACAAATCATTTAACAACGCTACGGTGTGGTAAATGGCCTGCACGATAACATCTAGAAATGTGAGATACTTAAATTTGCCACCCCAGCGGGTTTTCAGCTCTTCCTCTTCATGCAATCCCTCCGGCCAATCCAATTTGAAGAGATAATAGTAAATCCCATAGCAGAATTGTGCAGCGGCCAGCAGGTGAACCAGAAAGCGCAGGTAGCTAAATGCACCACTCGTGTAGGCGTCGTTGCACGTCTCCAGCCGCTCGGTATTCGCTTGAGCGGCTTCTCTTATAGCGTTCTGTTCGCGTATTTTCTTCTTACTTTTGGCCATAGTTTAAATAAATTAATTAACTATACACGAACGCGGCGTTTGCTGACGGTGCAGCTGATTGAGCTGCCAGGGCTGAAGCAGCGATATTGTGCTAACATTGTTTACAATAAACATAACATATGCTCATATGAAGCTGATTCGTAACTATTAAGTAGTTGGATCTGTATTTCTATTGATAGAATAGAAAATTATAGTTCATAGTATATAACTTTATATGACAGGATGAATGCAATATATCACTTGTTGAATTACCCATTGGCAATTGCCACTGACCAGAGAACAGAAGACCGAGCCGACCAAATACGAAGTTGTCCGCGCATTTTTTCGGTGTTGAAAAAGTTTGCTCTACATGTCTAGTCTATGTGTTCTCTGGTCAGTGCAATTGCATAACATACGATGTCGTATCATTCAGACATGTTTTACGAACTCCACTGTTAATACAAAAAACAGCTGTTGCCCGTTGTTTTGACACAACAAAAGCTGTAAATTGCGCAAAATTATTTGGGAATGTGGAGAAGAGTATTATTTAATGCACAAAATGTGCAGCAAGTACGTATAAATAGCCTGTTAATTGTCGTAAATATTAAATTAATCTGATAATTGCAGCTTAAAAGTGTAAACCTTCGCCAATTGGCCGCAAAGGCAACTGCACCTAAATTGTTGCAACTGGAGCAAGTGCATATTGACGAAGCTGTTAAATTGGAGCCGGCATTGGCAATTTATACACCCGAAATATGGCGACGGGCACACGAAACTTTTCAGAACCACGGACTGGAAACTATGAGCTTTCTGCGAATTGTTACTGGGAATCCAAATGTGCTGAAGCGCACGCCAGATCGAATTATTAATACTCTAGAGATTTGGCGCGCCTGTCAGTTTGGCGAGAACTTGTTGCACCTCCTATTGACCAAATATCCGGAGCTGCTGGACGTCACTGATGCACATCAGCTGCTCACACTGAGCGCCTATTTGAAGAGTCGCCTGTCTACCAATAAAAACGTGTGGAAGGTGCTGATGAATAGTCCGGACTTGATGGCACAGCCGGAGAACTTGATAGAGGAGAAGTTGACTTATATGTTCGAAGTAATGCGCATTGAGGTTCCGGAGATTGTAAAGTCCTCTGCTTTATCCTTGTCCTTCGAGGAGTTGCGCTGTCGTCACACTTTTCTGGTCCGCTTGGGTTTGTTTAAGCCACGCCCACTCAAGGCAGATCCCAATGAGCCGACGACAAATCATAGACTATATCAGATAACGGATACGTCCGAGAAAACCTTTGTAACCAAAATATGTCATGTCACACTGCCCGAGTACGAAGCATTCAAGGAACTGTTGGCGCGAGAATTGGAGCGCAAGTCGAGAAAAACTCAAGTTGAGGAAGAATTTAGTGATGAAGAAGTTTAGATTAACTTGTTATTAAGATTTATGTTATGCACCAATTAAATTGATTGACAAAGTTCTTTCTATTGATTTAATTTTTTTTTTTTTTTTTTACTTTAAGAAGCTGTTAAATGTTGCTTGTTTATTTATGTTAAGTTGCTGCTTGCATGTAAATGGCAGTTTTTGCCTGTTTATTTACGTTACTCTAACAGCGTATTCTGCTCGAGCAGCACGTTGACACGTGAATGGCAAATACTTGCTATCTTTGGCGAGTGGGTGGCATTAGGGGAATTTCATTTAAAATTTAATTAAAAGTCAATATTTTGACGCACTCAAAAGGCAGCTAGTATTACATTGTTACTAATATACTCAACATACACACATGGCCAGTGTGCAGCAGCTGTCACATCGCATCTAGCCCAGCTGTGAGGCAACTTAAACACACCCACAAAAAAAAAAAAAAAAAACAGAGAGAAATAAAAATAATTCCATGACAGCATGTCGGGTAATCCCTTTGATAGCACCGAGGAGGAGCCCAGCGCCAGCAGCGATGAGATACTGGAGGGTTTTCTGTGTCCCATTTGTCGTGCCGATTTGAAGTCAATTGACTTCCTGACCGAACACTTTGCACGCCAGCACGCCGAGGAGCAGGATGCCCTCAAATCCGTGTTCAAGGATATCTTCACCAAAGCCAAGCAGAAGATTCTTAACAACTTTGATGATGAGCGCATTCGTGTGCCGTCAGCTGCCTCGCCGGCTGCCAGTGCCAGCAATGCAGCTAGCTCCAATGGAGCATCAGCCAAGCCAAGCAGCGGGAGAGCGCAGCTAAATCTCTACCAAAATATGTCGAAGCAGACTGCGGGCGCCGAGCGCTCCTACTTCGATTACTTTCAAACGGTACGCAATCCACGCCTGGAGCGCTATGCGAGCGAGACGAATAAGCTGATTATTCGGCTGCATCGCCTACTCAAGGACCTGCCCACGGATGCAGTGCAGCGCAAGCAGCACGAGCAGCAGACAGTGCCTTGGCTGGATGGCAGCTCTGTCAAGCTCTGCCCAAGCTGCGCGAAGAGCTTTCACATCGCAAGACGGCAGCATCATTGCCGGCTCTGCGGCGGCATCATGTGCAACGATTGCTCCCGCTTCCTGCAGCTGGAGAATGCATGTGAGCGGATGTATACCCATATCCTGTTACATTTAGCTTCTATATATATATATTTCTTTATCCGTTGCAGTGCACCTGGCCAGCTTGTCTAGCACACGTGGCGAGCCTCTGCAGCAGCTGCAGCATCCGGACTATCGCGCCATACGCCTCTGCCAGCATTGCCTGTGGCTCCTGGACACACGTCAGGACATGCACGAGAGTCGCACCTGTCGCCCGCTGCTCGCCCAGGTCTATGAGGAGATAAGGCAGCTTCAGAAGCAGGTGACGCCCGATCTGGAGATGTATTTGAAGATCGTAAACAGCCTGCACGAAGGCGAATCCATCTTTACGCTGGCTGATGCGGGCGCACTGCGTGGAAAGATCGGACAGGTGGCGGAGAAAATCGATTTGCGCAGCAAGCGCATCTTGACCATACACTCGGAGCCGGGCAGTCGCGAGGAGGCACTCAAGAAGGCCATAAGATTAAGCTGTGTGCAAGCCATCAAGGAGCGCATGCTCTCGCTGCCTCCTTTGCCGGATGAGGGATACATAAGGCAGATTCAGGAGCGCAAGCGAATCGAAACGGAGCAACGGATTCTGACAGAGCAGCGCATGGCCATGGAGGCGCACGAGCGCAAAGGACTGACGATCCAGGCGGGAGTTACTCCGGAAAGTCGCAGCTTTGCCCAGGGCGTAAGCTTATAGTGATTAACAACTATTTCAATAATTAATTCGAATATCTTTTCAGTCCGATCTGCAATCGCTGAACAATTGGTCGGCGCCACAAGCCTCGACGACAGTCACAATGGTCGATGATCCGCTCATCGAGCAAATCAATATAATCAAAGGTTACATTAAGCAGGCGCGCGAGGATCTAAACTTCGATGTGGTCGAAACGTTAGAGCTAAATCTGCGCGAGCTGCAGCGCGAAGTCTACGAGAGACAGCGGCAGTCGAGCAACAGCGCCCGAACAGCCCAGTCGGACAGCTAAGCATGCCTCCAGTATATGCCTCGATACGTACATGAGCATGCCTACAGTATATATATGTATGTATATGCCTCTATGCCCGAATCGCCCAGCCGGACAGCTGAGCGTCTACATGCCTACATTATTCGCTTAAGTGTACATGAGTGTATAACTGTGTTTTATATATCCATTCCCGCTTTTGACAACAAAATAAATGTGCAAATTGATTTCTGCGAGTGTATTTTGTATTAACTAAAGCTGGCGTGCGATAATTGGGCTTCCGCCTGGTCTAATCATATCCATATGCTTAATAGGCGAAAATCATTTTGACAGTTGGCAAACACATGCACGTATATATGTATGTGTAAGTACACAAATACATACATACATACATACATTATTAAAGAGATGCGTACTGCATTTTTGACGTGCGTATGTATTTTGTGCTAATGACGAAATATTGTGCGTATTACATGTGAGAGAAATGCATTTCCAACTGGATTGTTATACACGAAACACATAATCCATATGCTTAGGACTTTAGACCCAGAGACGCAATCAGAGATTTCACTTTGGTGATGTAGGCAGTTCGGGCGTCGGCTTGGCTGGTGCCTTTCAACTTGTTCCAGGCCTCCCATTTGGACTTGCCCTTGAAGTCGAGGAAACCAGGTTTTTCTGCGCAACGTACATAGTAATTATTAATAATTCAACTGCATTGTAATTGTAGAAAAGTCAATTTTTACCTGTATTGCAATCGCCCACATTGGCCTGCTTGTAAAGGCCGTACAATTCGAGTAAATCGCTATCAGCCGGTGTGCTGCTCAAGTTCTTGACATCCTCGGCAGCTTGGTTGAATTCCTGGTAAATTTGTGGATATCAATTTACTGTATTTAACGTTAATTTTACACTTTTATACCTGTAGTTCCGACATGATTATCTAAATAATTAACTATACTAATGTCCATCTCTAGACGACCGCGATAGTTGACACGAGAGAGAACCACTGTTAATTAACAGACCCAGGGCCGGCAGTTGTTAAGGAAATCAACATATTGTGAACATATTTGTTATTATTTTATATATGATTACTGGTAATAATATAATTATATGAATAAGATTTAAAAATGCTGTATATTATAAAGTGCCCTATTAAAACTGCTAACTTTATTTGACTTCCCGCCAAACGTGCAGCACTGCTCGTTAACATTTACAAACAATTCAGTTAACAGCTGCAACTCAGCTTACAGCTGTTATTACGCGTCGAACTTGCAGAGCGAACGGACGTGTTTGTGCGTGGGCGCCTCGAACGAAAAAAAATCGAAATCAAAACGCAACTAAAAGAATTTAATAATAGTCCAAACACAACAAACATCGAGTATGCGTGCGTGAGTGTGTGTCAAAGTGCAGTGTGACGCCGCTTTATAGCAATAAATAATTGCGAGCGCAAAATCAAAAAAAAAAGTGCCAAAAACAAAAAAGAAAAGTAAACGCACAGCGATTTGTTATTGCTAGAAATTTGTTGTGCGTTCACCCGTTGTGTGCAAGTGTGTGTGTGCCTGTGTTCTGTTGTTGCTGTATCGGCGCGCGAGGCGCTGCTTATGCAAATGTGGTATGATTATGAATTTACCTAGCAACTAGTATCCGATCTATAGATTTATAGGCCTATATATCGTACTACATATACCTATGTCGATTTATATGCACACACACACACATATGGGCCATTGGGCCGTACTAATTGGCCAGCAACACGTAACTGTTATTTTAGAATTTTTATTAAGCTGGCTGTTTTCGAATTTGTGTTTAGCGTGTGTGTGTGTGTGTGTGCGTGTGTGCAAGTGTGTGTGAGTGTTTGCATCGATTCCTTTGCTGCGCTGCCGGTGTCGACTATTCTAGCATGCGATAAATTTATAGCCCAGCTGCAGCGTTGCCCTTGGCATGTTGTTGCTGCTGTTTTATGTGCGTTTTCGTTAGCTAAACAAATTTTAGCCACCAGCTATAACAATTGAAGTGCGAAGAGCAAACAAACAAGCTGCAACAACAACAGACATCGACAACAGAGCCGACATTTGATTTTCTATTCAAATGCGGCATTCCATGTCATTTCCCATTCCCCACTCAGTGCCTTCTTCCTTCCTGCTTTCCGCTTGGGTCTCGCTTTTGTTTTTGTTTATTCTCTTTTTTTTCGGTAGATCTAATCAAATGTTAGTGTAAAGCGAGTCATTCATTATATTTAGCTTAAACAAATGTTTTCTCTCTCTATCTATCTATCTCTCTCAGTCTCAGAGTTTGATATGTGTAGATTGGAAAAGAATTTGGCTTTTTTCATAGCTTTTTTTCTTTGCTATAAACATTTGTTTGAAATGCATTTGGGCTTAATGGATTCTTTAATTTTAGAATATGGAGTGAACTTTTCTTTCAATTGAATTGAATTGAATTTAAAATATTTTCAAGAGAAAATATTGAGCAAGGGAAAGAGGATGACGGAAGAGTAAAGCAAGAAATATAAGAACATGTACAATTGGAAGAAAATGAAATTGGATAAGAAACAGAAGAGTAACAAAAAGATGATCAAGATAAATATTAAGAAAAAATCATTAAGAATTTCTCTCTTTCTCCCTCTTTGTTTCTTTCCCCCGTCACACAGAGTGTGTCTATCTCTCTCTCTCTCCTCTCTCTCTCTCTCTCTCTCTCTCTCTCTGCCACACATTTCTCACTTTCCTTTTCAGTTGCTTTGTTTATGCAGCTGTTGCTCTATTTATAATTTCATTAACACAATTTTATAGCAGCGGACAATTCACTTCACTTATAACAATTTATTATGGCACTCGGATAATCGCAATTTGTCTTGACGGACTTTCGCTTTCCTTTTATTTTTTCCTAGATATTTGCAATGACACTTAATGAGCCCTTAGAACGAACATTATTTATCTTTATTGATAAGCTGAGGTTTGTTGACACAATAATTCACATTCACAGTCACATTTGAGTTTTTATGGTTCATGTTGACCCAGTCGCTGTTGCTTCTTCTGTTCAGTAAAGTGGTGGGGAATATGAGCAGAGGGAGAGTATTGCACGGGGTAGGCCAACTCTTATCAGCTCGCACTTGAGATCCACTTGACAGCAGTTTGTCCCCCTTTTGGAGCCGCAGTTGACAATGAGCTCATGATTAAGTGTTATAGAGGCGATACGGAATCAAGTTGTTCAATTGAACGGTTTATGGAACTATTGAACTACTTGAGTGAGAAGTTAATTTACACATTAGACTTTTAGCCTAGGAGTTGTACATCTGTTTTCGATGTTTAGAGTTAATCCAAGATTCAGAAACTGAATGTTCTATTTAAATGAATTACTGAACTGGTTCACTTATCAGTGATTGAGTGAGACTTTTGGAACTATCATAAACTAGGCTTTCTGGTTAGTTAAGGTATTCTTCATTAGCATAAGATTTTTTCATAGTCCAAAATGTTCTATTGAACTACTCAACAATATGGTACTACTATCTTGTCAGTCATCTCTAGAATATGGACGACAGTTCCTGTTATTGCCTGCGATTCTGCACTCATGTCGATTATATTTTAGAAATTACCATATCTTTTTAGTAGGTTTAGATGACCTTTGAAAAAAAAATATCATTTGTACCATACGAAATGAAGTGTGTTTTTTAATTTTCGTTTCTGTTTGCTCTCTGATGATTAAGTTTTTATTTTTATTTTCTACTTTATTTTTTCATTGCCTTTTTCGCACTTGTATTATAATTTTAAACTAATGAGTGAGTGAGTCATTTCCTTGACCTCTGAGTGCTCTATTTCAATATTTACTTTGCAACTTGTGATACCATGTAATGAGTAGAGTATACGATTTGATTTAAGTATACATTCTTGATTATAAAAATGATAATAATAATCAATTACATATTTGCTAATTTAAGAGATTGAAATGCCAATCTTCTCTGTCTTTACACATTTGCTCTATTAATCTCTATTCCATTGTGAACTCAACTTCACCTCTGGTTTCTGCCAACTTCACCTCTGCTACTTTCTCCTGTTCACCTTTCGTAGCAGAAGAAAGTGTGCCCTGGGTAACTTCTAATGGATTTTGTCGATGCTAAGTAGGCCAGGCGAGAGATGAATATCCATGTCCCTTGAGCATACATCATTGTAAAAATCAAACTACGACTAGTAACTGTTACTAAGCTAAGCAAAAATAATTTTGTAAAAAAATGTCTGTGAATGAAGAAGCCGAAACCACAAAGCCGCCAACTGCAACAGTTGAGGACAAAGTGGAAACTGTGGCTGAGACAGCCATCGACAACGCCACCACTACTACACCCACCGTTGTCACCAACACCACCAACACTACCAATACCATCGACACCACCACTACCAACACTACTACTACCAACACCATCGACACCACCACTCCCAACACCATCGCCAACACCACCGTCAACACCACCACTGCCAATGCGAATCCACCATCCGAGCTGGATATTGTGATCAATAATGTCGTCTGCTCGTTCAGCGTGCGCTGTCACCTGAAGCTGCGGGAGATTGCGCTGCACGGCTCCAACGTGGAGTATCGTCGGGAAAACGGGATGGTGACGATGCGTTTGCGTCGGCTTGGCTGGTGCCTTTCAACTTGTTCCAGGCCTCCCATTTGGACTTGCCCTTGAAGTCGAGGAAACCAGGTTTTTCTGCGCAACGTACATAGTAATTATTAATAATTCAACTGCATTGTAATTGTAGAAAAGTCAATTTTTACCTGTATTGCAATCGCCCACATTGGCCTGCTTGTAAAGGCCGTACAATTCGAGTAAATCGCTATCAGCCGGTGTGCTGCTCAAGTTCTTGACATCCTCGGCAGCTTGGTTGAATTCCTGGTAAATTTGTGGATATCAATTTACTGTATTTAACGTTAATTTTACACTTTTATACCTGTAGTTCCGACATGATTATCTAAATAATTAACTATACTAATGTCCATCTCTAGACGACCGCGATAGTTGACACGAGAGAGAACCACTGTTAATTAACAGACCCAGGGCCGGCAGTTGTTAAGGAAATCAACATATTGTGAACATATTTGTTATTATTTTATATATGATTACTGGTAATAATATAATTATATGAATAAGATTTAAAAATGCTGTATATTATAAAGTGCCCTATTAAAACTGCTAACTTTATTTGACTTCCCGCCAAACGTGCAGCACTGCTCGTTAACATTTACAAACAATTCAGTTAACAGCTGCAACTCAGCTTACAGCTGTTATTACGCGTCGAACTTGCAGAGCGAACGGACGTGTTTGTGCGTGGGCGCCTCGAACGAAAAAAAAATCGAAATCAAAACGCAACTAAAAGAATTTAATAATAGTCCAAACACAACAAACATCGAGTATGCGTGCGTGAGTGTGTGTCAAAGTGCAGTGTGACGCCGCTTTATAGCAATAAATAATTGCGAGCGCAAAATCAAAAAAGAAAGTGCCAAAAACAAAAAAAGAAAAGTAAACGCACAGCGATTTGTTATTGCTAGAAATTTGTTGTGCGTTCACCCGTTGTGTGCAAGTGTGTGTGTGCCTGTGTTCTGTTGTTGCTGTATCGGCGCGCGAGGCGCTGCTTATGCAAATGTGGTATGATTATGAATTTACCTAGCAACTAGTATCCGATCTATAGATTTATAGGCCTATATATCGTACTACATATACCTATGTCGATTTATATGCACACACACACACATATGGGCCATTGGGCCGTACTAATTGGCCAGCAACACGTAACTGTTATTTTAGAATTTTTATTAAGCTGGCTGTTTTCGAATTTGTGTTTAGCGTGTGTGTGTGTGTGTGTGTGCGTGTGTGCAAGTGTGTGTGAGTGTTTGCATCGATTCCTTTGCTGCGCTGCCGGTGTCGACTATTCTAGCATGCGATAAATTTATAGCCCAGCTGCAGCGTTGCCCTTGGCATGTTGTTGCTGCTGTTTTATGTGCGTTTTCGTTAGCTAAACAAATTTTAGCCACCAGCTATAACAATTGAAGTGCGAAGAGCAAACAAACAAGCTGCAACAACAACAGACATCGACAACAGAGCCGACATTTGATTTTCTATTCAAATGCGGCATTCCATGTCATTTCCCATTCCCCACTCAGTGCCTTCTTCCTTCCTGCTTTCCGCTTGGGTCTCGCTTTTTGTTTTTGTTTATTCTCTTTTTTTTCGGTAGATCTAATCAAATGTTAGTGTAAAGCGAGTCATTCATTATATTTAGCTTAAACAAATGTTTTCTCTCTCTATCTATCTATCTCTCTCAGTCTCAGAGTTTGATATGTGTAGATTGGAAAAGAATTTGGCTTTTTTCATAGCTTTTTTTCTTTGCTATAAACATTTGTTTGAAATGCATTTGGGCTTAATGGATTCTTTAATTTTAGAATATGGAGTGAACTTTTCTTTCAATTGAATTGAATTGAATTTAAAATATTTTCAAGAGAAAATATTGAGCAAGGGAAAGAGGATGACGGAAGAGTAAAGCAAGAAATATAAGAACATGTACAATTGGAAGAAAATGAAATTGGATAAGAAACAGAAGAGTAACAAAAAGATGATCAAGATAAATATTAAGAAAAAATCATTAAGAATTTCTCTCTTTCTCCCTCTTTGTTTCTTTCCCCGTCACACAGAGTGTGTCTATCTCTCTCTCTCTCTCTCTCTCTCTCTCTCTCTCTCTCTCTGCCACACATTTCTCACTTTCCTTTTCAGTTGCTTTGTTTATGCAGCTGTTGCTCTATTTATAATTTCATTAACACAATTTTATAGCAGCGGACAATTCACTTCACTTATAACAATTTATTATGGCACTCGGATAATCGCAATTTGTCTTGACGGACTTTCGCTTTCCTTTTATTTTTTCCTAGATATTTGCAATGACACTTAATGAGCCCTTAGAACGAACATTATTTATCTTTATTGATAAGCTGAGGTTTGTTGACACAATAATTCACATTCACAGTCACATTTGAGTTTTTATGGTTCATGTTGACCCAGTCGCTGTTGCTTCTTCTGTTCAGTAAAGTGGTGGGGAATATGAGCAGAGGGAGAGTATTGCACGGGGGTAGGCCAACTCTTATCAGCTCGCACTTGAGATCCACTTGACAGCAGTTTGTCCCCCTTTTGGAGCCGCAGTTGACAATGAGCTCATGATTAAGTGTTATAGAGGCGATACGGAATCAAGTTGTTCAATTGAACGGTTTATGGAACTATTGAACTACTTGAGTGAGAAGTTAATTTACACATTAGACTTTTAGCCTAGGAGTTGTACATCTGTTTTCGATGTTTAGAGTTAATCCAAGATTCAGAAACTGAATGTTCTATTTAAATGAATTACTGAACTGGTTCACTTATCAGTGATTGAGTGAGACTTTTGGAACTATCATAAACTAGGCTTTCTGGTTAGTTAAGGTATTCTTCATTAGCATAAGATTTTTTCATAGTCCAAAATGTTCTATTGAACTACTCAACAATATGGTACTACTATCTTGTCAGTCATCTCTAGAATATGGACGACAGTTCCTGTTATTGCCTGCGATTCTGCACTCATGTCGATTATATTTTAGAAATTACCATATCTTTTTAGTAGGTTTAGATGACCTTTGAAAAAAAATATCATTTGTACCATACGAAATGAAGTGTGTTTTTTAATTTTCGTTTCTGTTTGCTCTCTGATGATTAAGTTTTTATTTTTATTTTCTACTTTATTTTTTCATTGCCTTTTTCGCACTTGTATTATAATTTTAAACTAATGAGTGAGTGAGTCATTTCCTTGACCTCTGAGTGCTCTATTTCAATATTTACTTTGCAACTTGTGATACCATGTAATGAGTAGAGTATACGATTTGATTTAAGTATACATTCTTGATTATAAAAATGATAATAATAATCAATTACATATTTGCTAATTTAAGAGATTGAAATGCCAATCTTCTCTGTCTTTACACATTTGCTCTATTAATCTCTATTCCATTGTGAACTCAACTTCACCTCTGGTTTCTGCCAACTTCACCTCTGCTACTTTCTCCTGTTCACCTTTCGTAGCAGAAGAAAGTGTGCCCTGGGTAACTTCTAATGGATTTTGTCGATGCTAAGTAGGCCAGGCGAGAGATGAATATCCATGTCCCTTGAGCATACATCATTGTAAAAATCAAACTACGACTAGTAACTGTTACTAAGCTAAGCAAAAATAATTTTGTAAAAAAATGTCTGTGAATGAAGAAGCCGAAACCACAAAGCCGCCAACTGCAACAGTTGAGGACAAAGTGGAAACTGTGGCTGAGACAGCCATCGACAACGCCACCACTACTACACCCACCGTTGTCACCAACACCACCAACACTACCAATACCATCGACACCACCACTACCAACACTACTACTACCAACACCATCGACACCACCACTCCCAACACCATCGCCAACACCACCGTCAACACCACCACTGCCAATGCGAATCCACCATCCGAGCTGGATATTGTGATCAATAATGTCGTCTGCTCGTTCAGCGTGCGCTGTCACCTGAAGCTGCGGGAGATTGCGCTGCACGGCTCCAACGTGGAGTATCGTCGGGAAAACGGGATGGTGACGATGCGTTTGCGTCGTCCCTATACGACGGCTTCGATCTGGTCGTCCGGCCGCATCACCTGCACGGGCGCCATCTCTGAGTCGCAGGCCAAGGTAGCGGCGCGCCGTTATGCTCGCAGCTTGAGCAAGCTGGGATTCCCGGTGCGCTTCCAGCAGTTCCGCATCGTCAACGTGCTCGGCACCTGCAGCATGCCCTGGCCGATACGCATAGTCAACTTCTCGGAGCGGCACCGTGAGAGCGCCTGCTATGAGCCGGAGCTGCATCCCGGCGTCACCTTCAAAATGCAGGATCCGAAGGCCACCCTCAAGATATTCTCGACGGGCAGCATCACGGTGACGGCGGCCAGCGTGAACGCCGTGGAGTCGGCCATACAGCGTCTGTATCCGCTGGTCCATGAATTCCGCACTCGACCCTTGAACGAGATCCTAGACGATGGCAAGATGAAGCCGAAGTTACCCAATCTCGTCAAGCGTCCCATGGCAATGCCCTCGAACGCCATATCCAAGCTCATGCCTATGCCCGTGGACATGTCCATGTCCATGCCCATGGTTCTGCCTACGGCCCTGCCCATGTCCATGCCCATGGCTCTGCCCACGACCCTGCCCACGGCCATGCCCATGCGCGTTCCCATGCTGAACGTGAAGCCCGGACTGAGACGTGAGCAGCCGACGCCGCCGCCAAAGAGTACGCCCAGCGAGAACATCTGTGGTAACGCGCGTCGTCGCGCCACCGAGTACTGGGCCAGCAAGTTGCAGAAGAAGCGTCCGCGCTTCAACGAAGCCGGCTCCATTGCCATCCTCAATGCCAACAGCTTGGCCCGTCAAAACAAACTGCCCCGAAAGACACCCAACAAGCCGGACGGGAAGTCCACAGCACAGGGCGGAGAATCGAGTCAAGTGGACAGCAGCTCGACTGATGAGCCCGATGATGAAGAGAAGAATTCTTAGATTCCTGAAGACTAAATAAAACCTTCCCACTCAACTGAAGAGCTGTTTTAAGTACTGTAATAAACTTGTAACTAATAATTGATTTAATTAATTTCAATTTGATATTATCCCTAAGATGGATGAGATTAAACATACCTAACTAGAAATGATAAAAGATTTTAATATACTTAAAGTTGAGATGGGTCTAATGTCACTTCTTATCGTATCCATTATGCATTGGAAATGGGAATGGTTTCCTTTGAAAACGTATGTAATAGATGGAAACGTGGCGGAATCCCTATGCCTTGCCTTATGTGTACTCATGAAAATCGTAAGGAAAGACAGCTGTTTTCCCTATCTATTACATTGATAGACCTTATTCCAGCTCACTCCAGTTTTTCGCTTCCCTCTGTATTATCTTGCTGCCATCGTATCATGAAAATCGTAAAGAGAGGTGGCTCGTCTATACTTCTATTATAAGCTCTTCTAAGTATTAGATGTGAACTCAATGGAATCTCAAGAAACCAAAATACATATCTTCCTTTCTTCAATTATTTCTTCTTAACTCGCATAATAAGGCAGTTCTATATAGATGAACCACATGTATACTGTATGTGAGCTAGTAAAGTTAGCAAAGAAAGTGCCTCGTCTTCTTTTGCACTGCATGAGAATTGCAAAGAGAGGCTCTACTACGAGCTAAATGTGATCTTCGATCCATGTGAAATGCAAGGAGGCGAGATTAGATATTCCCCAGGATAAATCTCTTAATTGAAATTATAAAAATGGCAATGAAAGTAAAGTAGGATTGACTGCCCCCTATCCCTATATATAAATATTTGTCTATCAAGTTCATTCACGTTTCAATTGGCCCATTTGTTGCCATTTCCATTTTCACGAACATTTCGAGGGATCAAAAGCTTGCAATTTTGATAGCCATTAATTGGCTGTTTAAACAACGATTTGTTTTAATTAGCGGGTATTTGCCTTGGCTGGAAATGCTTTGCATTCGATTCGATTTGAATTTATTCGCCCGCAGCTTTTCACGGCCAGTCAATCAATATTGACACGGAGTGTGATTTATGGCCATCGTTGGGCATTTATATATATATATATATATGATATGATAGACCCATTCATATCTATGTCTATATGTATAGAAATATCTATCATAATGCCAGCTGAGCTCCGCTGGGCCTTATCATTTAGCTGACTTTTCACATTTTGTTTCATTTATCAGTTTTTCGTTTTCGTTTTCGCGTTTTCAAACAACAACAAAAACAGTTGCTCAAATTAGTTTTGGTTCCAGCTCAGCTGCCGCCTTTTTTGGCCCAAAACTGTTTTCACTGTCAGCGTTAAAAGTCATTTACCACGCCCCCGTCCTCACCTCCGCCCCAACTATCGAGCACCTCTGAACCCGCCTCTGTCTATCGAAAAGTTGGCAAGCCGAAAAATTTGCAGCTCTTATTGGCCAGCCCCGAAACCCATACTCAACCTCATCCTCCTACTCATTGATTCTCAAAAAATGCGCCCTCAACATTACGGGGCTTTTCATATATCTAGTATACACATATATATAGTGTTTTTTGGGTAGTTTAGGCATGGGTGGGCAACCACATTTATAAAACTGCAACAGCTGCAGTTATTTTTGCAGCTTGTTTGTTGTCACTGATGTGGCTGCACTTGGCTAGATGGGTATTACGCTTTTCTTACAGATAAAGTCATCAAAATATACGTTGATATGGGAATCACTTGGAAATGAAGCTTAATTTTGCCTGTTCTTAATCATATTAAAATGAATGTGAATCATTGCACTGTATAAATCAGTGAGAATTACTGAGAGAGGCAGTGCAATTTAATGCTATTATTTGCATGTGGTCTAATGAGAATCACAAAGAGAGGCAGAGCATTGGGTAGTCAACATCATTTTAAAACTTATAAACCAATAAAAATATTTTTTTTTATTTGTAGAATATAGATGACGGTATATATAGTATATTAATAATATTGTCAATAATTTAATACTTGAGTTTTCAGTTCCTAATTTCTAAAGAACAATTTCCGACTTTCTAAGGCCCCCGTTAGAGCATTGCAACTTCGACTTCTTCGCACATGGCTGTGGCTATCCTCTGTATCGCTCTTTCTCTATTCTCTATGCCCAGCACCCCCTCGACGATGTTTGTGCATCAGTGCCACAATTTCAATTGAATGCAACATATTTGATTTTTCGATTTCTACATAGACAAACGGCTGTTGCCAAGCGAATGTGAAATATTTGAAAAGAAATTCGCATTTCTGTTGCTTGTGTTAAATGTTTTCAATTTCGGATTGAACTTGGCCAAGTTCAGCTAGTTTTACGGCGAGCTTAAGGTTAGCTACGTATAAATGTTTTTCATTGTGTCCTTATTTAATAGAATAAAAACTAAATGGAAAATAATTGTCTAATTTCTCTTTTAGTAGAAATTTAATACTCGACGTAAATGCTTGTTTTCCTTATCTATGTGGTTTACTTGCCTCAATCGCGCTAATTACAAATTGCTTTCGACTAGTTCCGCTTTGTCTTGGCCTTGAACTAGTTCCGTTAAGGTTGACACAATGTCATCAAAAAAGCACGACTCGCCTTATAAGTTAGATTTGTTCTACTTAAATGATATTACGATATTTAGAATTTTAGTTTTTGTATAATATTTTAAATTATTGTTTAATTTTTAAAATAAGTAAACATAATAGTTATATTTTCTTCTATAGTAAATATAATATATAATATGTATATAATACTATTTGCAAAAACTTATCAGCTTATGAATAACCTTTATGAAGGTCTTACTTCCTATTGGAACTTGTGAAATTTATATTTGTCGTATATAAATATTTACATATATTTATGTATATAAGATCCATAGATATATTATTTTATTTCAGATACATACAAAATAATAATTTAAGTTTCAATATGCATTAAAAAGATCACATTTCCTTTAATGCCTTATCAATATAATTATCTAGTTTTGTTAGCCTTAAACTAGTTTAAGAAAGGCTAAGAAAGCGAAGATTCTGGAAAGTATCTATATATTTTATTCATTCGGTCTTATCTAGCTTATAGACAGCTACATCTGGGGGCGCAACAGCCGCAGTTTGTCAAGGTGTTTTCCGTGTTGGCTCGCTACCTGGCCAAAATGCATCCCAACAACAAGCAAGCGCAGCAGCAGCTGCTGCTATTGGCCCTCTTTTGTTACCTGTTTCAGTGCCATGCAGAAGTGCGGCTAGAGAACTATTTGATGAAATAAAATTCTACACATGCGGCTCGGGGTTAAGAACTCGACGAAATACCTCAACAATTTTCAGCGTTTGTTTCATGTTTGCGTCATCAGTGGCGGAAATGCTCATGTGTATACATATACTATATACTACATATACATATATGTATACTCTATGGATGTAAGCTATGTCCAAAATATTCAAGTCGGGCTTTCTAAAGGTTTATTGTTTGTTCTGTTTATGGTTTTTAGTTAGTTTTGCCGGCCTGCAAAACTTGTTTTCTAAAAAAGCACGACTCGCCTTATAAGTTAGATTTGTTCTACTTAAATGATATTACGATATTTAGAATTTTAGTTTTTGTATAATATTTTAAATTATTGTTTAATTTTTAAAATAAGTAAACATAATAGTTATATTTTCTTCTATAGTAAATATAATATATAATATGTATATAATACTATTTGCAAAAACTTATCAGCTTATGAATAACCTTTATGAAGGTCTTACTTCCTATTGGAACTTGTGAAATTTATATTTGTCGTATATAAATATTTACATATATTTATGTATATAAGATCCATAGATATATTATTTTATTTCAGATACATACAAAATAATAATTTAAGTTTCAATATGCATTAAAAAAGATCACATTTCCTTTAATGCCTTATCAATATAATTATCTAGTTTTGTTAGCCTTAAACTAGTTTAAGAAAGGCTAAGAAAGCGAAGATTCTGGAAAGTATCTATATATTTTATTCATTCGGTCTTATCTAGCTTATAGACAGCTACATCTGGGGGCGCAACAGCCGCAGTTTGTCAAGGTGTTTTCCGTGTTGGCTCGCTACCTGGCCAAAATGCATCCCAACAACAAGCAAGCGCAGCAGCAGCTGCTGCTATTGGCCCTCTTTTGTTACCTGTTTCAGTGCCATGCAGAAGTGCGGCTAGAGAACTATTTGATGAAATAAAATTCTACACATGCGGCTCGGGGTTAAGAACTCGACGAAATACCTCAACAATTTTCAGCGTTTGTTTCATGTTTGCGTCATCAGTGGCGGAAATGCTCATGTGTATACATATACTATATACTACATATACATATATGTATACTCTATGGATGTAAGCTATGTCCAAAATATTCAAGTCGGGCTTTCTAAAGGTTTATTGTTTGTTCTGTTTATGGTTTTTAGTTAGTTTTGCCGGCCTGCAAAACTTGTTTTCTAAAATGTTTTATTACACACTCAACTTTGAGCTGTATACACGTAATATGTATACACAAACACATATGTATAGATGTGTGTGAATATAGTTGAATAATTTTGTATTCTGCTAGATTCTTTTTTAATTAGCAGATAAATTTATTGTCTGTATTTCTCGTATATTTATTTTTTTCTGCTGGATATATTTAATATGTGCTCGACGTCTTATCGTCTAGTTGGATATTGTGCTCTATGTCTGTATATATATAATATATATATATACACGAGGTTTGCTCAGTAAGTAACACGAAATTTATGGGTTTTGCTCAAATTATTTATTTAAAAAATCATTTTCTGTGATCTTGTTTTGCTACTGCTACGATGCCGTCATTTTCTCCCCAGTATGTCGTAGCGTCGTTCTCTAATGGGGCTTTCAATTCAATACTATTTCAACAGATTTCGCATATGCATATGAATTCTATCTATATGCCAAAAGCTAATGTATTCTATGCTGTTAGCATTTAAATGAGCTAACATTAGCATATTATGTTAAATTACATATTTACATGAGGTTGAAACCAGCTCAGGTTGTGGTGAATTTGTATGTTAGAAATCAAGCGTTGAGCTTTATGCTGGCTGTTGATCAATGCTATGTTATCCTGTTAGCCTTAGTATATAATGTATAATAACATTTACGCAGTCTGTTAGCTAAG